ATTTTCCCTCAATGAGAGAACACGAGATTTGCATTAAAGAATTTATTCGCACACAATACCTGACGCTTCGGCGGATCCGCCCCCTTCTGTGCCTGGAAAGCTCAAATTCACATGCAATTTACTCGGCCAAATATTTCCATAACCTTAGCCGAAAAAACTTAACACATAAATTAGCATTCGTATCATAAACAGCTTCGTTTAAACAATCACCGTTTTAACGTATTATTTACTGCCTATTCTTTTTAACAGCAGGGTTTACATTGTGAAATATCTCAGCACCATTGAAATCACCGTTTTGTTCGTAAGAAGTTTTCCACTTAGTCAATGGAGACCAGACACACATTGTGTATTACATGGACGAAGAATGTGCCTGGATCCCTAACGTTATATACAGTGATGGCACGAGTTCGAGCACGGTGTCCCTAATCTATAGTAAAGCATGTGCTGACGAATCTACAGAAAAACACTTAGTCGATAAATTTAAAGTTGAACCAATACTCAACTAGGTTCGCATGAGGCAGAGAGACAATAGAGAAAATTTTAACTTAAAAGTCGACATTCTCACACAGGAATCCAAAACATCAGCGCGTAGTACTCTTGAAGCATTTTGGATTAATTACAAAATTCTAGAAATGAATCGCAAGGAGGGTCTTGTGGTCATGCGAAACCTCGCGCATTAGCTAAGGTTGGTATTCTAACCTCAGCTAAGAACTTTCTAAGCTCATAAAAGACTGTGTGGCTGGTCTGTGCAAAAAACAGAAGGTTACAGAGAACAAAACGGTGAGCCTTAACTCTTTTATTTACTGCCTTTTTCTTCTTAATGGCAGGGTATGTTGTGAAATATAACTCGTATGAAGTGCTGAGATATTTGCAAAACTCCGGACCACAGGTGTATGCAGTGGGAAACGAACACGCGCTGTTGTCCTTACCGGGGAGCAGCGCACTTCACCACTACACCATCTGGGTCCTTCGATTTGCATGTATCTCAACTAGTTCTCTGCTCAAGACTATCTCTAGTAGCAAATATCTCAGCACTTCATACGAGTTATATTTCACAACATACCCTGCCATTAAGAAGAAAAAGGCTGTAAATAAAAGAGCTAAAATTGTGATTATAACGAGGCCTCAGCTTAACTGGGTTCGATGCCGATATTGGCTCCCCAGATCAATCCCGTTGACGGGTGATTGCTGATGGCAAAAAGATCGATAGAACTAGCTGAGATACATGCAAAGCGAAGGACCTGGATGGTGTAGTGGTGAAGTGCGCTGCTCCCCGGTAAGGACAACAGAGCGTGTTCGTTCCCCGTTGCATACACCTGTGGTCCGGAGTTTTGCAAAACGGTGAGTGTTTATAGGGAGGCATTTATAATGCGAATGGATATTTATGTATTAATTTCCATCTGCTGGTGTTATGAAAGTGTGTGGTCGAGTAGATTAATGTCAATTTGACATTTACAGGATCTGAAGAAAACGAAACCGCCGAAACAGCAGGTATATTGAATTAATAGATGCTGTAGTAGCAATCTTTGACACCTCAATTATATCTGGATTCTCTACTGGACCTAACCACTGCCTTCTTCGTGGAAAGGTCTGATTCAGCTGCAAGTTGAAGAAGAACTGTAATCTTCCAAGAAAAACAGGGCAATTCATGTATGACGAGGACTTTCTCAATAAAATCCTCTCCTCATATGACATTAGATAAATAAAAACCCGACTGACGGTTGCACGAACGACTTAAAACTTAAACCAAACTTAGATCCTTAAACAAAAAATTCGGACTTCATCTCCATTATCAATAAGAAGTTGCTCGAAAAGAGAAGGACACTGAAACTTGACCCTACTGCAACACACTACGATGCTAAACGCGAGCTTTAAAAGCGTAAAGAAATTTTCTAGAAGCAGCTCAAAAACGATCCATTATGAAAGAATACCGTCGGGATCCCTGCCGTTGTAATTCTCCGTTATCTATCCTGATGAACTGAGACGAGACCATCACTATATCCCATCATGAAATCGAATTTAAAACTGGAAGCTTTTACACCAATGTTTTCCGCTCCATAACCTCGTCTCGGTCCCCGAAATCCTCCGGTTGAAAACCGTCCAGGATTGTACCCTATATGAAGTTCAAGTTGCGATAGAAAGCATAAAGATAGGTAAAGCTCCAGGAGCCGATAACATCGCCGCTGATTTCCTTAGAGCTGCTTGCCATAAATTATAATACCTATGCTTCTCATAATCTGCATGACATCTGAAAAAAACACTAGAAGTGGAAGACGTCGCGCAAAGCTATTATATCCAAACAGGAGTAACCCAACAGATCCTCGTAAGTACCGCCAGCATGGTTGTTGAGTGTACGCCACAAGCCTTGAGCAATGTCTTCTGAAATTGAAACATGCACTCACAACGTCTAGTAGGTATGCGCAGCTCACATTTCCGAAACCTATCCCATTTTCAGAATCATGGATAACATACATCGATAGCGTCAATCAAATAGGCCGGTCACATAATAAAAAGAAAAGATGACAGAGAGACGGAAAGAACAGTAAACTGGACTCCAAGACAATGCAAGTGCCCTCTTTGAAAAACACTTGAACGAAGTGCGGAAGTGTTAGTAGTAGTAAACTTCAACCATCTGCACTCACAGATGACAACGATCCTACGATTAAGGAATAAGCCCCGCAGATGTCACAATGTTTAAGGAAGACCACCACCATAGAGGACGATTGCGCGAAAAAGAAACAAATGGAAATTATACTAGGGTGCCCACAGCCAGTGATGAAGGCCCATCTAAGCAACCAGATAAGCAAGCAATAACAAGCTTGTAATTTTTTGTCAAAGAAAAAAGCGAAATGTTTAAAACATTTCAGCAAACCGAATACAATGCGTATAGATGGTAAGATCTCCGTTATAAAGATTGTCAATAGCTTCTTAAATTTTAACATAATGCAAAAATTGTAAGATGTTTTTGTTACTATTGCTGCCACTGCCAATTACCATTGCCAGCTTGTACAGTGTAGAATAAAAAAGGGTAAGGGATTAAGCTCTCGGCCTCGATCACTCTGAGTGATCGGCCATGCATTCGACTTCATCAAGCATCGGTAGAGGTGATTGAATTCATACGTAGCTTAGACACGATGTGCCATATCGATGTATCGAGTCAGTTCTTCAATCCTCCCCCCAGCAAGGTCTGATACCTATCTTCCGAACCAGAATGGATGAAAGGCTCGATGAGTCTTGGACGCGAGATTGAACTCGTGTGTGTTCCAGGGCGCCTCTAACCAATGCGTTGCATGGCCATGATGTAGAAAAAAACGCAATATCTTATATATGTACACTGTAAATTGTATGTTGTGGAATAAATGCGAAACAAAAACGTAATAAGACTTGAAAGAACTTTCGAAACACAACTATGCTGAATCCTGTTCATAAATGCATACGCTGTAAACATCAAGCCACTCTAAGGAAGTCTGCTCAATGGTCTTACCACCATGCTATCAGAGCGAAGAGCTTTCCCTAAGTGTTGAATGCCAGTGTTCAAGCACTTGTGGGCCTCTCTACCGAGAATGCTTTATGCTGCACAATTTCTTTAACAGCAATAGTCTCGCCGCAAAAATGATCTCATCCGAAGAGGCTGTTTTGTAAATTATTACGTATGCAGAAAAGCTTTTTATGGGCCACTTCTGATATTGGACCTAGTTTTGACACTGCATCCGAATAGAAACAATTCGATAAAAAAAACTCTCTGTAAACCAGGGAAGACGCGTGACATGACAGTGTCACGAGGTCATGCACATCTTCGTGCATTTTTGTCCTATGAAGTAGATTTTGAAAGCATATCGAAAAAGGCAATCAGTAGTTTTCTTTTTCAGACATGTCTAATGCCAATTTGGTAACCACAAAGAGATGAAGAGAATTGCTAGTCCCATTTCGCAGACCGAAGAAACGGATATCTGTGTGTTTCAGCCCACCTATCATCACTGCTCTACATGCACTTTAAGCAATAATGCATTTAGTAGATGCTTCCTGTGCAAGATCCTGGTCAACCGGATTAACAACCATCCTACTGAAGCAGTACGAAGTACGTCTTCTAAAACTAAGGGATGGCTTTACCGAGATGTTTAACGAAGAAAAAACCTACGTCTTGTTCGAACAGTAAAAGTTAAAACTGCTGAGATCACCCATAGTCGCAAAAAAAATGTGTTCTTTCAATAAGTTACATAATTTTTAAATTTAGGTGGTAATAACCTAGATCGACACCGTTGCTCGTGGAGAAATGCGGAAAAACCAATATTCCTTCAAATTCGCTAGTCGTTTCCTGAAATTTTTATGGAGTCGTAGCATCATAAAAAAATTTTTGAGCAGTTCACACCTTCTTAGACGAAATTTTTTTGCAATTTAAATGCAGCTCTCTACCTTTTTTATAAACCCTCATCCTTTGACTTTCATAAGATATTTTTAAAACGAATTTCGTACACTATAAAAACGCAAGGGGGTGTGTGGCGCAGTGGTCGGAGGCGCCTTGAAGCACACACATGGAATTTATCCCGCCTGCATGGCCCACCTTCCATTCATCCACGGTCGGCAAAGTGGTACCAGACTTGTCTGGGAGGATAGTAGCACTGGTTCGATAGATGGTAGGCCACCGAGAGTCATTGCAAAGGCCAGACAAGCACTCAATCACCTCCAATGATGCTTAGTGAAGTTGAATGCATGACTCATCCCTCAAGGATTGATCAAAGCTGAGAGCTTCATGCTTTATCCTCATATAAAAATGCTCAAGTTTTACTGTTTTTTCAGTGCTTTTAGCTTACAGTTTTTTTAAATTGTACTAGCAATCTCTTGTACAAAGCCAACTACCATTTATTCACAAAGACAGAATTCTCCTAATTTTACCGACATCATCAGATTAAGGAATTTCTAAGATTTTCATGTAAAATTAAATACAGACATGCATCGGATCTTTTATTTCATTCTATACACAACCTAGAAATTCAGAGAGTTTAAGTCGCAATGATCTTTACGCGTAAAGCTTTTTTAATCAGTCCACGTGCCGGGCATCTACAGTAACTAGCGTCTTCACCTGGTGCACCCTAAAAACTCATGAATTCAAAGAAACATCCCATTTTTGGAAAAAAAAGTTAAAATTCATGTCTCACATCGGCTCCTGGGCTTCCAGCACCGACTGGATACCCAATATTCCCTGGCATTCCGCTTGGTCCCGGCGGTCCAGGAGGCCCCATCATACCTGGAGAACCGTCTCTACCAAGAAATCCCGGTGCACCACTGGGTCCAAGTGCGCCTGTTGGTCCTTTGGGACCGCTAGGACCCTTCGCTCCTCTTTTTCCATCCATTCCACGAACTCCAATTTCTCCCATATTTCCCGGTCTTCCCTCTGGTCCATGTTCTCCAGGCACCCCAGGCATTCCAATGCTTCCTGGGCGTCCTGGTATACCTGGTTGTCCTTCGCTGCCCTTAATGGACAGAATTATCATTACTGCCTAATACTACGCCTGCTTGATTGCATAAGCGTTTACTCCTCTAGAGTAAGACATGCTAACAGAACTAACATCTAATGTCGTGAAATGTGAAAAAAAGAGAACCTCAGGCCCTGGCTCCCCAGTAATTCCCATATACCCCAGTTGTCCAGGGTGTCCAGACGGACATTGTCGACAACCACTTGGTTTCGGTTGCAGAGTAACACCAAGAACTCCTATGACACCCATTTCCCCAGGTGATCCAGACGAACCTGTAACATAATATGTTATAATCGGAAGTAGTTAGATAAGTAGAAGAAGACTAACGGTTATCGAGAAAAGCAAAAACGCAAAGACACATACCTGGTTCTCCATCTTTGCCGGCTGAACCTGGCATACCTTTAGGACCATGTGGACAGTTGTTTCTAGTGTCACACCCTAAACAAGCATTACGTGTGCAAGTGAAATTTAGCACTATGAAGTCAAATGCACTTAATATCTTACCGGATTTCATTGTCTAAGAAGCAGTTAAGATAAATTAAAAGTGGATTGTTTCAGTATTATAATACTTACTGCATGTTCCTTCTACTTGACGTCGCTCGCGTGGTGAAATACTTCCACGCAAGGCTTCAAATTCTAATCTCAATATACTTTCCATTGCTTGAAATTCGTCGTTGTGAACCTGTAAATGACTCCTAGTCGCAAAATTGGATGTAATTCTGAAAAAAATCTTAGTTGTTTGGAAAGATTGCATGGCGTCGTTGTAAGTCTTTTTTTGTGGCTAACATTAGAGCAACGTCACTTCATCAGAGCAGAGGTGCTTCGAGTTGAATGTAATTTCTTGCGATGGGTATTATCGCAAAGACATCAAATCGAAAAACTCCGGTATAAAAAGGCAGTGATAGGTGAAATCATTCCATTCGTAAAACGCTTCAATTCACTTGATTCGACTCAATAAGATAACGAAGATCACGAAGGCGAAAACCATCGCAAGAAAGAACTACGGTGAACACAGTATGTTTCTGAATAGACGGAGAAACTGAAAAATTATAACAGAGCTAGGCTGAGTCAGTTTCAAGACTTAAATAAGATTATTCAACGATTTTAACTCACCCTGAGAGAATCCAAAACGAAGTCGATTCGGGCAAGCATGTAGGGGATGTAAGCAACAAATGAGATTATAACAAAACTAGACAGAGCAATTGCTATGTAACTGACGGATGCCTTCAGATACATTATTTGTTTAGCCTGAAAATCTGATCCTCATGTGGGATTTGGAACCTCAACAATTCGCGGTTCCCACAGCATGAACATTGATTGTTTTCACTATGAATATAAACATGGTTCGTAGTCTTTTCAACTATGGTGCGTGTGACGCAGTGGATGAAGGCATCGCTGCAACACACGTGGAATCGATCCCTGCACCCATGGCCCCACCAAGCCTTGCATCCCTCCGGGGTCGGCAAATTGGTACCAGACTTGCCTGGGAGGATAGCAGCACTGGCTCGATACATCGGTAGGCCACCGCGAGTCATTGTAAAGGCCAGTTTGGTAATTACTTCATTAACATTTTCATCCAGTATTTATTTCAGTAGCTTGCCTAGTTCAAGAGGTGTCACGATGAAGTGGTGTTGGATCTTGAAGATATCGCAGCAAAAAAAGAACACCACTGAAAATTCATTTGAAGAACATTTAAGTCAAAAATTAATAGAATATCTGGCTCAGTAGATCTCAGCCAGAAAGTTTACACGGAACAATGGCCAAAACTAAAAGAACAGTTGAAGGAATCGCATGTTAATTGCTCACAACACATCACCAGTTTACTTACTTTTAAGTGAAATGTGCTATAAACACGTGTAAGAAAAAAGAACTAAGCTATTCATATTCTATTTATATAGGAAAACCACGAACACATCTATACGTAGCAGGAAATAAGCTACGGGTTTTCGTTTCATACCAGTTTCTACCAGATACGATGCAATGGCTGCTATTACAAGCGGCGGTCGTGAAACCGTTTCATACGAATTAAACAATGCCAGATTGATTGTAAATCATCCCCCTTCTATAGAAGTTCATGGCAATACAGCACTGAATAAAAAAAATTTTCCCACAGTTTTGGTTTAAAGTCAGTTTTTTGAAGTAGTGACGAATCATGTGATTTCGCATTTATAGTTGGTGTAATTACAATATATGTAGCAGCCCATGCGATCGATCCACTCGTTATTTTCGGATAAATAGTAATTTTTCCAAACTGTAGTAAGTAATGGAAAATTACAAACCTTGCAGTTCATGTCATTTTTTAAAAGTTGTTGACAAAACATCACGAAACCACTTTTTTAATGGAACAATAAAATCTTCAGAGACTAAGAAAGGTGTCTTCATCTACATTATGTCTTCGCTTTGCCCAATACATTCACAATATTTCGTTGTATAAACATATTTTTTTACCAATAATGTTTCCTTCGAAGCATCTGGACACTCACTATGCCCAACTTCACAGAAATGGCGGAACTAACGATATGTAAATTCGTCGTTTTTTCTCTCAGCAATTACAACGTTGTTAAACAGCATACATTTACTTCCATACAGTAACACACATGAAACACAATCGTAATAGACGTTTCGGCAGTATCGCCTTCGAATTTATAATTCAATGCTGAGGTTAATAGAAAGCCGATCCTGGAAACTGTTATGAGGAGATGTACCTAAACAGCAAAGCACAGAAACTGATACCGTGTACATGGAGTTAGTAGTTTGTGTTAAATGAATAACATTTGCATCACTTTTTTCGGCAATATTCCATAATAAGGGGCGCACGGCTTCCAGCGGTTCTAAATGCCCTGAAATAAAAGCGTGGTCTTTACTCCTCCCTGTACCTCCTAACTAACGAAGAGACGAACGAACAAATAAACTATCGTGCCTTCAAATTGGTGCCAGACTTGTAGGGGATGGTAAAAACACTGACTCCATTCTTCGATAAGCCTCTTTAAGTTATTTTGTAGACTAAATGTACATTAGTACACCTCCACATAAGGAATTTGAATGAGCAGTGCATCCCTAAGAAATAGATCAACGTCGAGCTTGTTATACTGCATACTTAATCTTTATTCATAATTTGAGATTAGAACGGCAAGGCTTAAGGCAGGTTCCACGTATGATCAGACCTATGAAAATCATGAGCAACAAATTTGACAGATGCTCCTCTTCCAGTGTCTGTTGAGAGCTGAACTTGATAAACAAGACTGACAGACAATGGAAACAAATGGGTCCAGGTGTACTCGAGTCAATCGACGATTTATGAGGGAAATATATCAAGAACGCTAAACAATTGCTATGCTATGTTTTGTGAAAAACGAAAGATTATTAAGCTGATCCTGGAGACAACAAATGTTCCTGGCACGTTGATCAGTAGTGGACAAAACGCTCTCCCTTGTTCGACAACTATTTTCGATTTCAAAAACGTTACTCTATATCTAATAGCTTTTTGGTGATAAATGAGTCATTTCCGCCAGTAAATTCCGGTAGAAATTATCCTTGTACTCCTTAAACTCGGCAACGTCAATCTTAGACCACGACGACTATCAGTGCCTACCTCAGAAACTTGAGAAGAGAAGTTCTCTGCTCTGTACACCAGTGGTACATATGAGAGTGCTATCTACTCCAGCTTCTGCAGCACTTCCTGTCAAAGAGGCAAAAGTGAAAACGAAGTCGTCACATCTTCTAGGCCTGTTGTGGCCAATTAGAGGACAGCCATCAGTGTTAGTTCTCAAGAGTTGAAATTTTACTTTATTCTTAATAGAAAACTGCATAAGATTTTCGCTTCGCAGCGAATTGTCAGTTTTAAAGTACATGAATGAAGAATGAACCTTCGATAAAATCTACGCAGATACACCTAATTCGTTTGCAACTATTCCCAGAAATTTGCGAGGGAAAAACTAGCTGCTAGAAAGTTGGGAAAGACTCCTTCAGTTCTTGTGCCTTAAAAACAGTGGCCGTTTTTATTGCGCTGTATGACAAACATTTATGGATGCTGTTTGTTACATCGCCCTCGGGCGGATACCCTGCATTCGTAGAATCACTGTCATCCTAGAAAGATCTGATTCACCATGCGATATACCTCCCTTCAATCTAAAATGGCAGACGAATGTTTGTTGCGAGGACGATAAAGCATAGCTATCTAATGACTTCAAAGAAAATCGCGTTTAACCAGCTTAAAATGGCAAGAAGGTCATGATTGCCAATCAGCAGTTGAGAACGGTCATCCGAAGGAGACAATCGAAGTTGACCTGTGATGGGCTAATAGCTATGCTGCAGAGAAACTCAACGGCAGCCAAATAAGTCTTCTTTCATTTAGAAGACACTGCGAAGCCGAGAAAGATCGGTAAATGTGCGCAGTACGAATTCGATGAAAAGTAAAGAGATTACCGGTACGAAATTTACTTTGAGCTCCTTTAACGCAGGAAAAATAATTTCTCGATCGTATTATAAATAGTAATGAGAACGGATCCTATACGACAACCGATGATAACCAAGGATGTTAAACTCAGTGGTTGCAAGAACATCAAGGTGTTAAATGGTTCCTGAATGGTGATAGCACAACCGCAATATGAAAACAAAGCCGTGTAGGTAACTTATGCTGCAGCAGTTGGGCCGATTAGGATTTGAAGCTCTGCCTAATTGGCCCTCTCGTCAACTGCATGCTTTTCAAGCATCTCGAGAACTATGTATAACGAAAAGTCATCTTATTGCTGCTGAAAACGAAATCAATTTTTTTTTTCACTTTTCTTTTCCACTTTTCCACACAAATTTTCCACTCCTAAACACTAGAACCCTACATTAACAGATCAACTAAACCCATTCCTATTTACAAGAATCTGTATCTTTAGTGGTTTCTATCTAGACCAATAAAGTTATCTCTAAACCGAATTAAAGAAATCGAAAGCTGCCACTCACAGAAAATACTAGATCAATTCCGTACGCATTTTTCATAGCAGTATTTATTAAGCAGGTGCAGCAGTAATGACGTCGTTCAATATGCGAACGTTGAAACAAATCCAGTTCCTGTTTCAACTCCATCCAGGGCCAACCAAGCCTTGAAAGTCTCTCCAGTATCAGCAAAATACCAAACGACTTGTTCGGGATCTTCAGTCCTGGGAGCAACCTAGTACGGTCGCCCCGAAACTCCAGGGAAAATCAACTTGAAAAACACTAAAGTGCACTAGTAGCTGAGACGACTACCTTCTAGGAGCAGCTGAAACCATGCCAAAAAAGGTTTGAAGCACTTTGTGGATGGTTGATGCAAGGAAACAGATCGAATGTGATTCGCAGATGTGATATAGCGTCTTGAGGAATTGTGGAAAAATAAATGTGTAAAAATCCTCATCAAGGATCTTCAAAACTATCTCACATTGCTTCAGATATCACTAAAGCGAAATTATTCCACGTTTTCGAAACAAACAGGAAACTAATTCCCGAGAAACCTTTTAGAAAAAAACATTAACTAATTCTAAAGAAAATGTTTAATGCTGATTTTCTTTCCCATTACATCATTCATTTTCCACTACAATAATAACTCCTGTCAAAGTAAAATAATTTATTCAGCACAATAAGTAAGCAACTGTTTACATGCATTAGTGCTTCATCAAAAATATGACATGGCAGAACCGTACAATCTTAAATGGGGGCTGAAAAACGATTGTAAAGCTCATCATATGCACAATTTGGATATATTCTTAACAGACTACAAGATATAAGTGTGGATCAGGGCTATGCCTAGAGAACAGTAGAGCAATGAACGGACAAAAACAGAAACAGAAAAAAAAGTAGAAGCGGGCTTCTTAGGCCAGCAGAACATGAGAGCTATGAAAAGCAAAAAAATAGAAAGCAGGCTTCTTAGGCCTGCAGAACATGAGAGCTATGAAAGGCAAAAAATAGAAAGTAGACTTCATAGGCCTGCAGAACATTGAGAGCAATGAACGGCTAAAAACAGAAGCAGAAAAGTAGAAGTAGGCGTGCTATGCCTATGATGAGCCTCAGTTCATGAGATCATTTGTGTTTACAGAATATTTCGATGAAAAGAAAGAGAAAAACAGGAAATAAAGAACAGTTGAGCACTATTTATCAGAATTCAAATAGTTCGCAGTTATCAAAAGATATGTTTGGAAGAAGCCGATATTTACAACAAAAATATGAATGGTAAAGTGTTTCATACAATACCCGTTAAGAATAGCCGGGATAATAACAACAGCAAAACAACAAAGAAATGCTCAACAGGAATAATCAAACATGGTCCTGTTTGCCTCGTTGTATAGACTTGAAGCGTGATGCGGATCTGCCAGAGTCATCTAGAAAAATAATATTAACCCTTTTGAGAAGATGTTAGTTTTCTATCGACAAATTCCGACAATTCTTCTATAATGCAAGTAGTATTTAACAACTTCAGATTTTGCGAAATCTGAGCTCTCATGGTAACGAAATACATCACTTTTCAGGAAATACAAACATCTGTTAACCAGAATATCGCCGCATTCCGCTGGACGGAACCGATTTCCACAGTTTGGGAAATAATTGCAGACGAAAATAATTCTGTGAACGAATATATCAGAATTTCATAGCGGCAGATAAGAATGCGTTGTTGGAAATGCAGCTATTGATTTACATGATTTATAATATAATTGATAAGTTTCATTTTGATCTCAGAAACGCTTGTTCAGAGCTGAAAGCCCAGGTTATTTCCGAAACTTATGAACTGCGACCAACTTTTCAATCGTTATGTCTCAAATCAATTGAACGCCATTTAGAAGAAGGGTGCAGTAAAATCAGTACTTACAATATTTCATGATAGCAGATTTTTCACCAACTTCCCCCTGTAGGAGGAGATTCTGGGCGGTAAATGGTACAGCCATGATGGGTAAAAGAGTAAATAAGTGATTCGAAAGACAAGTGGTCACAAATCTGCTTGAGCAGTGGACTCGCGAGATAGAATATCTACCTTTCCTGCGTCGGATGGAATTGAACGAATCGCATACATATTATCATGTCCATGCATCATTTGTGAATGTAGTTGTGTCTATACATGTGTGGACTGTATCTAATACGCTCATCTTAGCGAATGAATGCAATGAAGTGGATTGAAATCATAGGGAAAGCCTTTTAGAGTCACCTCCAAAAAACCAACCACACGCTTTTGAGTGGAACTGTGCTTGGCAATTCTTGGGCGCGATAGAAAGACTTCCCTGCTGCTTGCTTGAGCCAATCGACAATCAAACAGAAGACAATACATGGTAGTATACATCACGGTGTTGACGCGTATCACCTACCACTATGTTCTGACAAAACATTGTTAATTCATGTACAGTGAAACAGAAATCATAAATCACTTAAACTCACAGCTACTTTGTGAAAGTGCGCTAGCAGATACACCCATTCGCGGAACTGTTTTCCGTTTTCTTGTTTCACAATCTGATGTTTCACCATCAGCATCGGATGATACGCCTTCCTCATCCATCATCAACGATGAACGTTGGCTATCGTCATCTCGATTACCTTTTTGAGGACGGATCCCTAGAAAACATAGAATGAGTTGTGAAACAAATACATTTGTAGCGTTCCATTAAAATATGGAATTGCAATACCAACCTGTAGTCCTATTCCTACTGGTTGGCCTAACTTTCATCTCGTCTGCAAACGCTAACCCATCGGAAACCGAATCATAAGGATCTTCTAGATTTAAGGCACGAGGCAAATGTCGTCGTGGCGAGCCCTAAAAACGGAAACACTTCAAGAAACAAAAAAAAACGAACAATGATCAAGAATTTTCTATCTAACAGTGGGAAAGAAAAACCTATACGAGAATATCCCAGCATGTACAAGCAGAAAATTAATTCGTAAAATACTTGACACTAAGAAACTTGCAACATTGTGTAAACCTTGCCATAATTGCCTGTTAAAATAAAACTTAATCCAAAATACGAATAAAACATATAGACTACTCTCTGAAACAAAGACTCCGCATCTCTCCATCATATCATACTTTTCTTATGTTAGTCATAAAACTTTCACATATTACTGTTACCTAACATAATGTACTACAAAACCACTTTTCTGGTTTTCTCTGGATTTCGCCACACATGCCATAAACAGCAATCTCCACCTCTCGCATCTACTGTAATAAGAATTCTATTAGCTCCTTTGCATGAACGATCCAGCCTTTGTCTCTAATGTTTCCGTATACTAGATCAGCTGGGTCAGAATGTACTAATTGGGAAAAATTTTAGAAACTTGTCTTGAACAATAACTACCAACTTTATCTAGCAACAAGCCCATCTATTTCAGACAATGTTCAAAAATCACTATATTACTGGGAGATTGTATGCCTCTTTCACTCATATAAATCTCACTTCATTTCCTGTAGTATAATCTAAAAATCTACCTATCATACTGTCATTATTAATTTTACTATGCTGCCATTGCTGTATTGTTTACATAAAAGGTAAAGCACCTAGATTTAAGGTCCATACTGTGGCAACCATTAAAAAAAAGTGTGACAGATCACTAAAATACAAAAGTTATCTCTTAAACTGTGCAATACAACACTGTCAAGGTGTCGGTGGTTGGGTAGTTACACAGTGTGCCTTACACAAAACATTGCTTGGATGTAAAACTAGCTGAGAGACAAGCGAAACGGAGGACCCGCATGGTGTGGTGGTGAACGCGTTACTCCCCAGAAAGGACAATAGCGCGTTTGTTCCCCACCGCAGACACCTGCGGTTCGGAGCTTTGCAAATATCTCGGTATTATATAAATTACTTGGATACTTGTACGACCCGTCCTCACTGCTTGTGTGGACCCCAGCATAATTTCCATTTCTTGGAGTTTTGCTGGTTTAACCATTGTGATTCTCTGGAGTCCTGGGCAGAGGGCAGCCTTGCCAAAGTCTGCCCCAGGTCCACACACCACACGCAGTCTCTGCCCTTGTAGGTCAGAGGGAGATTCGCCGCCATACGACTATTTTGATACCAGGACGGTGAGGGATCCCGGTACTGCTATTGGTTTGCTCTTAGCTGGGCTTCGTGATGCAAACGCCGGGCTTCTCAGTCTGTAGAGTGGTGAATCCCCGCATTGTACATGACAGTCCGACATCCAGGAACACCTTTCAGCCACGGTGAGGAGCTAAACCATTGAGATGTCCGACAAAACACTTACGTTTTCAATGTGAAGAAATGACCTATTTAGTTAACCTATCACTATTTAGTTGTGTTTAACAACTGACATCTTTGTCCACTAGATGATTTTTGAACATGCGAAACCAATGAAATGAGTCAGATAAAACCTTGCTATATTACCTCGGAGAAACTAACAGAATTCCTACACAGCCTCCGACTGTGTCAGAAGTTATCCTCGCAACTTGTATACTGCATTCTTGAAGGAACGAAGACGACTACAGTCACGGTGGTTTTGTTTCGTAGAGTGTCACAGTACAATATTCCTTCCAAAACACACCAATAGAAAATATGAACCTTTCGTCTGTTTTCACTAAATATAATGGCAACTAACCCCGTAGAAGCCGTTAAGTCCAGCTAGTATTGCTGACACAAAAACTTTCATTTTCAACAACAAATTCTTTCAAAAGGTCCCCTCTATGTGCGAGTGATTTCAGAAACAGACAATATCATAGCCATCGATACAACCTACAACCTGCTCTGTTACCGATGATTATTGGAAGAACACAAACATTGTCACCAATTCGCCAATGATGGCGTTCGGTTTCGCATCGACAGGGTTCCGTAAGACTACTGAACAATTGTGAATCAATGATGCGAGTGCGAGCGATCTCTAAAAACGACCTCGCCAGATTCCAAACGTTTGGAGAGTAGCGGTAACGGGGAGAGTGGACTGCGTTGCACTCGAATACACTGTAGATATTGTCCTTTGCCACTCTTACAGTTAAAACATGCACTAAATGATAAAAAGAAGATTAAATTAGAAGATTACCCAATTGTACCAAATCGGGCCAAAGCAGTCAAGCTTTGAAAACATTTCAACATAACTCAGCGGAACGTTCCACGTATAAAACGGTAATGTGCGCGCACGAGAAGATCCGCCTCGGTGCGGTTGCGAAAATGCCACATCGAGAAGAGGAACAACTGTGGACCATCAACTAAGATAATCAGCTCTGATGAAGACGAAGACGTCGAAACGTTAGCCGAAATAAACCTTATTATCAACCTCGTGTAAGCTCACAATTTAAAAACATGTTGATTATTTTAGTACCGAGGATGAATGACGGTCGGTTTGAAAATTGATATGCAGGTATATTCACAACATCGAAGCGGTAATATGTGCAAAAACTTTTGTTCCACAACGTTACCTCATAATGTATATCAGCAGGAGGTGGGGGATTTGTAGGAGGAGGAGGAATAAAATCCATTAACGTATGTTTAGGAGGACTTCGACATCCGGCTATTGTGCCCTGCTTTGAACGACCATTTGAACTTTCGCCAGTGCCATCAGACGATTGGAACTGAATAGAAAGCAATAACTGACAAAACAGTGTAATTTCCACACATTTCTATACTTAAACAAAATATATGAAATAAAAAGAAGATAAGGCTGCTAGTCCTCATTTAGAAAAATAGGTTCACATTTCTAAAACGATATCATTACACAAATAAATATAAATTGTCTTTTTTTTTAGAAATTTCGAAGAATAATAGATCTATCTACAATTGTAAGAACAAATGGATACGTGGAACAGCTATGTATGAAACATCATAAAACAAACTTGCACGTAGCTAACATCGGTATGGGGTGGACTTTCGGAGTGATGACTGGCCTGTCGATGATCGGACGTTCGACTGCCTCGTGAACGTCGACCGGCAGTATGGTCCGCATATCTGGGAATACAGTAATGACAAACAAAGTGTTTTGAGAGGATAAAACTCATGAGAAAGGCAATACCTCGCCGGTGGTCCGTTTGGGATCGGATTACTCGGCAGCACGGGTCCACGCAACATTCGATCATTTAGCCAAGCAGGTTGTTGATTAGACATCACCAATGTTGTTGTGGCGTATGGCGAGGGATCATCTTGGAACTGAATAGAATATAATGTTAAAATATTGCAAATTTTTCATCTGCAGTTTGGAGTCGTTTTCTTTTGCTGAACAAAGCGAATTCCAACCTCAAATTCACAGTCTCAAAACCGTTTTTTTTTCTTTATCGAAGTTCCATCACACACAATATTCTGTTAATAAAGACCTGTTTGTACAGAGTCAAAGTGTAAAATTGGGTTATTAAAAAAATAGTGGCTGCTGTTTTGTATAATGACATTCTAGCATCTTTCAAATGAAAAATTGATTCTTCGTTCAAGAAACTCAGCAAAGAAGTGATTTGAAATGATATCTACGAGCATAAAAAAGTTAAATTCATATCAGTCAAAAGTTTCTAAGAGATATGAATAGACGAAAATCAGAGGAGATATGACCTGATGAATAAGCTAAAATGCTCAAGGTGCATAAGTTAGTGCCTAGTCACTAAATGTCAAAAAAAGTGTCCGTCACAAAGTCTGTGCAGCCTAACATGGTTATAATCAGATAGAATATCTGTCCTGTCCGCGAGTAACTCTGGTCGTTTCTGGTTGAATTCCGGCTCAAATTTGATCGATTGGCCAACTTTTTTATCAACTTAACAATATGATTTATTTTTCTTGTAGGAATACATGAATCCTTCCCAATCCACCAGATGCACAGTACAACCTCTTCTCCCATACAAACTGGTGTCTCACGCAGGAGAATCCTCGCTGCTTAGACCACGATTTTACCGCTTGAATTTGCCGATACATTCGACTGTTTCTTCACCGGTCGTAATCCACTTTAAGAAAGGATGGACTTGTTTGGTATACCTAGCAAGGCATCGCAAGCAGATACCTGGTTTTCCAAATTTTTCAAAGTGTGTGCGGCACTCACAAATCAACCACCCATGTCGACTGCCCCATGCCTTTGTAGTAGCCTCAAAAAGATTATTTGCTTAATATCTAGCATTTCTGCCATCAGATGAGTCATTAAGTGTCGGTCGCATTCAACCAGTGGGAGGATTTATTCACTGTTGGTTTGAAAACCATCTGAAACCTTGCGCACAATCGGGATAAAAATTCGTTTCGAGAAAACCTTTAAATATGGTAATATCACCATTTGAGTATTCTAAGAGAACTTGTCCTTCCTAACGTAAAAGATCGTAGTATTTTAAGAAAACTCATTTCCGAGTACCTTAAAAATTTGGTATGGTGTACAAAACTTAATTAACAGATTCGTAATCATGGCTAATTTTAGGCGGTTTATATGAAACCGTGAAGAGGAGGCGAGTGGAGCAGTGGTCGGAGGCGTCCTGCAACACACACGTGAAATCGATCCCCGCGCGCCCATGGCCCACAAAGCCTTTCATCCCTCCGCGACAGCAGCGCTGGCTCGATACATCGGTAGGCCACCGCGATTCATTGTAAAGACCAGATATGCATTCAATCACCTCCAAACGATGCTTAATGAAGTCGAGTGCATGGGACATCCCTTAGGGATTGATCAATGCCGAGAGCTTTACTCTTTTTTTTATCTTTGTATGAAACACTTGATTTGGTCATATGTGACTAGTTTCGTATGTATCGCTCCCGAAAATAAATGCCTGTAGATCGTTTTTTTCATGCATTTTGTAACTACTACGTTTCACATGTGTTTTTATGTTCTACGTCTATAGCTTCCGAAGTATTCCAGTTTTGTGGATGGCGACAAAAAAAAATTGCTCAACATCGTGTTAAATTAATGTCGACCTTTGGCACTTGGTTACGTAACATATGTTGAATACAATTCGGAGTTTTTCTACACCTCTTATCACCTCCTATTCCATACAACTATGCACTTTTCCTTACAAATTAGAGGTTTAAAATAAAACTTTTTTCGGACCCTGACCGCCATTACATTTCACATAGGAGTTGCCAATCTAGTACGAAAGGCACCGCAGATAATGTTTGCGTTGCACCAGAAATAACCAGAAAGAACCATACTTAACTCACGCGGTCAGAAATACGGCTCATTATTTTACTTGTATGGACATAACATGGATAATAAACCACTTTCACTTCTCATACAAGCGCAGAGGTTTGGAGTAAAAAAAAGTTGACGAACATTCCGAAGTTGTCGTAACCGTCGAACTTTATGTATACAGTTGATGCCCTAAGACATAGAACGACTTAAATTGCGAAAGATGTATATATTGCGTGGACGGTGAGTTAGTTTCGGTAGTCTGGAACAACCTCTCCATCTGTCTGCAAACAAACTTTGCGACATGAGACCAACCAAGTGCTGTAATGCAAAGCTAGACTCTAAGCTTTGTTAGCATTCCCTTTACAACAACGCTGAGTTTGGAAAGTTTCTCCGTGTGGCGGTTGTTTATGAACATTTAATTCGGCCTCCGCAACTCCCAGAATATCATGGCTGGTGTTCTAGAAAACAGACCACCAACTTACAAGCGTGTGGATCGTTTTTAACTAAAGTTGTAAAGTGTGAAGAAAACCCTTTTAAAACCTTTACTCGAATTTTTGCCGCTAGAAGGCCAGAATTCGTGGCATATGTTTTCGCTAGGATGAACCAACCCTCATTTTAAGCATAACCTCTTCGAAGATGTTTTGTTGGCGAAGATGAAGCACCACCCATTCCCTGCACGTAACATTTGTGGTCGCTCAGGGTGTTGAGTATCGAAGAGGATATCAATTTGTGAAGCCTCACCGAGTACAGATTTTAGTTGGCCGTAATATGAACGAACTGCGGCACGTTTCAAGCTACACATGGTAAGACCAGCAGTAGATAGGGTTTGTCGCTCACATTTGTTAACAAACGTGACCAGTCATTGCAACTGAGACTCGCAATTACCGCTGCATCCGCTAAAACGGTTTAGTTGAAACGGCACAGAAAGTGATACTATAGTTCAGCGGTTCTCACTGATTCTTCCTTGATTAGTGAACAGAGACATTAATTCTCCAGAAGGTTAAGGATCTTCGACATATCCAAATTGATAGGACCCAGGTCAACGTGTTGACCATAGTTAAATTTCTAGGGTAAAATAGTCACAAAGACGACGATAACAATATGTAAGAAAGAACCTGTCACACATTTTGTGTAACAAAAACAACCTCAGAAGCTACTGTTGCACTCAACAGAGTGTCTAAAGATTTGGTAATAGTGCTTACCAGCGGTGAAAGAGAACGCCGTTTTCAGGCAAGACATTTTGGAGAAAAGTAGCAATGGAAAGTTTAAGAAAAATAATTAATTGAGGATAAACGATAAAGGATGAAGCTCTCGGCGTTGATCAATCTCTGAGAGATGCGCCATACATTCAACTTCATTAAGTATCGTTGGAGGTGATTTAATGCATATCCGGCCCTTAAAATGACTCGCGGTGGCCTACCGATGTATCCAGCCAGACTCCGGAGGGATGGAAGGGTTGTTGGGCCATGGGTGCGTGGATCGATTCCACGTGTGTGTCGCAGTGGCGCTGCAACCTTAGTCGAGGATACACGTGGTTTTTAAGCTTAGTAAGTAAACGACTACCATAACATAACTAAAAGTGCTACCACTTAACACTTTTTTATAATCACACTCTATCTTCAAAACAAAACAGAACAACCATATGAAGAAATACCTACATGATTTCCATAGAATGTGCTCATTGTATTTCCATGACCTCCAGACAATTGCGCGTAATGGTAATGATGTTCCGAATTAGGTCGATTCATTGTGCCAGTCACATAATCATCGTATGAAGCATGGAAAAAATCTTGCTGACTTGGTGTTACAGAGTAAGGTTGATGCGAAGCTGGACACCTAGGAGTTGAAACACGTTATAAACATTTTGAAAGAAGAAACAATCACTCTTGTTGTAAGACATTCAATGACTGTTAGAGAAAGAGAATTTAAACGAAAAAAAAAACGTTTCAAGTTAGCTGCTAGCAAGCTGTAGCCACAGGTTTGCAACGGTTTAAAATTGAGCTTTAAATAATACAGTCACCCAATTCGAAATCAAGGAAGGTAAAATGATTATTAGATATTGTGATGCAGCTGGGCTTCTACATCCAACTCATAACCTCGTCACAGTAACCATCATACAGTTAATGATAGAATATGTACCGATTGTTTAGCGTCATTCTTCCGGTCGTATTGTAGTGATTATGATCCCAAACCCCATTCTGAGTCATATGAACTGAACCATCGTTAATTTTGATAAACGTTCGATCCTGAAACTGATGCCACTCAGGGTCTTGCACACGCTGAAACGCCACACAATAATCGGTCGTTCATTAAAGAAAAAAACGTTGCAAACGTGTTACACAACTTGTGTAGCTTACCTTAACAATCTTGCCGTTCTTGTAATACCAGAATACAAAAACCGCTACAAGTACCAGGAATACGCAGACAAGCAACATCACCAGTAAAGCGAACCATGACTGCCGGGATAATGAGTACAAAAAGGACTCGTGCTCACTATGAAGGCTAAGATGCTTATCAAGAGTTTCTTGATCTGAAAAGCAGAAGCACTAATGGTCAGAAGAAAACGGTGTCCCAATTTCAATCTGCTGTATCACAGATCTCTTTTTTTGAAGAGGAAAAATGATCAACCTAAAAAGAAGGCGACTACTTACTCATTGTGACTGTATCCGTTCCATGACTAACACCAATACCAGCGTTAGTACGAGCAGCGACTCGTATTTTATACGTCATACCAGGACTCAGATGAAACAGGGTAACACTTGCTGCTCGTTCGTTAGTCGTGATATTACGATTGAATTTGGTGCCCTTTCCAAGAATTACTATCTGAAAATATGTTTGATTACGATAACATTATAATTGCTCACTCGATTAGTTATACTGGTATCAATCACTCAATCCAGTAATACTAGCAGTGGATGCTGTCATTGCACATTCAATCGTGGCCCCAACACGGTAAACAACCTCCAAGCAAAAACGATCCACAACTGCTTGTGATGAAGACAAGGGAATGTTTAGGTCAGCTATCTCAGGAGTCCAGGTGCTCGACCAACATCCAACATGTCAAAGAAAAGAGAAAATAAAAGAATCTCCAAAGTTCATACACGAACCGTAGATGACGGTTTCAATAAAATGAATAGAAGTCGTACTGAGGTCTGTACAACATGAAGGGATGGGATCATCCAACTATCCAACTAGGAGCAAATCCCAAGACCAACTTTCTCTCAATCACGGCATTGATCGATAATTCACTTCGTTGCTTGAATAAGAAATAGGAGGTTGTTATCATAGCATTTATTAATACATAACAGCCGATGTTTCAACGCCTTTGCCTTCTTCAGAAGCCCGGATAATCAAATTGACATGCAATCTATTCAGTCAAACACTTTCACAACCTTACCATACAAAACAATATATAAATCATTATTCTGCCTAATTCATTAGAAAAAAGTACTCTGCTGGTAGACCATCTAACAAATCTTAAGATCCGAAACTATCTAGTTAGTGAACATATCCAACTAGTACTCATAAAATACAACGATTACGGAATTATTTTTAAAGCATTAAGGCACCAGTTTTGTTACTACTTCTTTGTCAGACGTAGGTTATCCCAAATGGTTAACCACCTCATTGTGGCCAGGTGTTACTGGGTGTCGAAACTGCGATATACGACGTCCATCACTTAGCAAGGTCAGCCAGGTCGAAAAAGGTTCGGTATTCTCAAGCGTTCGCCGAGAAAGAGAAAACCCTTGGCAAGTCTAAATTAATGAGCTATCCGCAACTACCTAGCCGCAGAAAAGAAAAACCTAAAAGTGAGCGAAATCCTACCACAACTGTGATGTTCTTCGAACAGATGGAGCTTAATCAGTAGTTATGGAACACAACAAGGATGAATGAAATTTTGTTGGTGCCTACTAACGCTCAACAGCTACAGAAAAAACGTGACAGCGTTGTAACAAAGGCCTAAACTCTAACTTTCGGTGGACTAAAGAATGGATAAATGCCTAAAAACATCTGACTGGCGGCAAGTGACAGTACAACAAGATAATCTAGCTCTTCCCGTAGACCAACCTCACTCAAAAAGGGTGATGTCGAGAGAATAGTATTTCAATTTGTTCAGATGCGCAATGACACCGGTAGACGTAATGATTCGACCTTTTTCTGGTCCAGAATATTCTGTTTAAAAAACCTTTAGCCGAAAAGAGGATAAAAACCTAGATGTGGGATCGTGTCTTACACACCAATTCCTCTAGTGGGTTTGAACATGAAACAATTTTTTGGCAGCGGTTTTTTTTCTAGAATGCCGCACTACTATATATTAAGGCTAAATTCAATTTACACAATACTTACTCGGATACTTGGACAGGTCCTCCTCACTGGTTGTGCGCGACCCAGCAAATTCATCTTTTTGAGTTTTACTGATTTAGCCATTGTTTCCTTGGAGTCCCGCGGTCAGTTTGGCCAATGTCTGCCCCAGGTCGTCATCACCACAGACAGGCGCCGCCCTTGTGGATCAGAGGGTAATCAGAGGGGAACACCATGCGACTAGTTTGATACCAGGAAGGCTGCGGATCCTGATATTGGTTTACTCTTAGGTAGACTTCCTGATAGAAGGGCCAGACTCCTTCTCAGCTTGAGAAACCCTGCCAGGGAGATGAATCCCCCGCTCTATATGGCAACCCGACACCCAGGAACACCTCACAACCACAATGAGGCGGTAAACCGTTGGGGGGAATCTACGCAATATTTCGATTTTATACACTTTTTTTACTTCACTTGTTTTTACCATTTTATTTCACTTATTTTTTTACTTTAATATTTCTTATAGTCAGTTTATGCACTGTCGCTCTGTAGGACTTAATTACAACACGCTGTCTTCGACAAATTTTAAAGCTTAGAAATATTACACATCAAAATAGCAATGTCGATAAATCCACGTCTACGAATTCAAACTCGGGCTCAGCGAGTGCAAATTAACCAGTTATTAGGCACACAACGTTGTTACAAATGTGGAGTGCGACATCGGCTTCGAAATTTTTGTCATAGAAAACTACGCGTTGAATATGAGGAACGTAGCAGAGGTCTTTTGCTACTGACGACGAAGAATTGAGGTGGGAGCAAATACGCACACAACTGTCCAAGAACTTGTAGAAGAACTCGGCGTAAGCATCTCAACTGTTTTGGAGCATCTATAAAAAATTACAAATTCGAAGAAAGCTCGATAAGTGGATGCCGCACGAATTGCAAACCGCCTCAATATCGACGTGAAGCACACATATCGTACAACCGGCACTACAGACGTTGAACAAGGTGGCATACCAAAATTTGTCACCATATTCATCAGACAACCTCTTGCCTATCGAATACAACTTGTTTAAGCATCTCCACAACTTCCTGTACAAGAAATGCTCAAAAAACCAAAATAAATCCGAAACTGTCATCAACGACATGGCCGCCTCTAGAAGACCGTAACATGCAACCAGTTTAGTCAACTTTATTCCTCGTTGGTAAAATTGTGAACATTCCAATAGGTCTTATTTCGATTAATGCAATTTATTCCGAGCTGAGGTATGCCACTGCGAAAATAAAGGCTGAAGTCTGATATTGACTGAGAACCCAACAGATCTCAAAATATTTCTCAAAGACTAACGCCACTGTTTCCACGTGAAAAAATTGCTCGAAGTAAGACATTCAATGGATTTGTAACACTGTGATGGGAAGATGATTAACGAATAAAGATTTCTGAAAACAATGAATAGACTAAAAACTTAACCACGAAAGCAACCAACTGTTTTAGTTCTGTAAACCACTTATATAGGAAAACTTCTTGGGAATTACGAATCAAAATCGAAAACAAGTACGACATACTCAAAGATGACAGACCTGGAAGCCCTTAAGTATGCCATTCATGCCGTCTGCCGGAGGTGCTCTCCACCCAATACGTAGTGTGGTGAGATTCAGCATTCGGATGTGTACATCTGATGGAGGAAGTGATGGCGCTAAAAGCAACACACGTAAATTATTACTCCCTAGCAAAAAAATTGCGTTAAGATCCGATAGATAACTTATCCCAACCTTGCACGTGACCCTAAAAAACGAAAACTCCTCTCATCAGGATTACTTACGCGCTTCGGCGGTGAGCGCATCCATGGAGTTGCTGGGAGCTCCTTGGATAGATTTGTGATAGGGAATGACGAAAAATTCGTAGTTGGTAAACGGCATAAGACCATTCACCACATACGATTCAACATGAGCGCCACTAACATTTACCCATCTGAAAAACTTTGCCTAAATGAATCCACAGCGATAGAAAAACACATTAACAACTATGACGTATAAAATCTGATTTTGAGCTTTTTTAAATATTGGATGAAGATCAAAAATTTAAGCATGCCCGGGAATTAAGGCAGGATTTGTAATTTGCTTTTCTTACATATGTTTTAGGAAGGTATAGTTGAATTATGGTATAAACTGCATTCCTGGCAGATTTCATAATTGAGAAACCGAGATGTCAAAACAATACCTTTGACAAATTCACTTTCAAGAATTCAAATTTGGGTGTATTAACCGTCGACAGGTCCAGACATTAAATGAGATATTAAGGCAAGGGAGTGTTAACAAATGAACAGTGCTAGGTTGATTTCGTGTAACTTTTGCCGGAGCGAACTCGATATTGAATATAGAGGTTGCAGACGTTGTTTTACTACTGGCGAAGATAAAATCGGAGGGTCTACGCAAATATATGCACAACTGTTCGAGAGCTTGCAAAACAAGTTGTAAGAATCCCAACTGCTTTGGAGCAGCTACAAAGATTAAAAAGTAGAACTTCGACACAGGGATGCCGTAGAAATCGGCAATACGTCTCACTACCGCAGCCGAAAAAACTGAACGAGATGAAATACCAAACTGCTTAATCGACCTTATTCATCAGCCTCGACAAATTCCTGTGAGTGAAATGCCTTAAAAACCAGATCGAGGACCAAATTGCGTCCAACAACTTCACCGTCTCCGGAGATGGAGAATCTTGTGCAACTGGCAAAAATAAGCCTGCTTTTCATTGGCAAAATGTGTAAAATATAACGGTTCATTTCGATGAATAAAATTTTTCTCCAACTGAGACATGCAAGTTTGAAGATGTAGGGTTGAAATCGTGCATTAACTTCCGAACAACCTAATACATGGATAAGGAGATGACGAAGGCTAAAAAAAACTAAATAAATTTGGAAGAAAGAACTGACTGATTGATATTACTTCTCGGAGGACCGCGCCATTTAATATAGTAGCCCTCCACCATGTCTTCCACCTTCTTCCTCTTCCAAAATAACCGTACTGCAGTAGAGTTGATAGTTTTCACTTCTTCGAGCTTAATCAGTTGTTCGGATGTGATTCTTCTTGTCGCTTTCTCAAGATTGAGATTTTCAAGATCATCCGGTGATACTGTAAACCTTTCCATTATAATGTAACTTACGAAGATAAGAAGAATTGTAAATTGTTAAAACTACCAAATATTCTTGGTCAAGCAAACAAAGAGGGAGTTATATTGTAATGCCTATTCTTGCATACTACAAGTAGCTGGGAGGAAATATATATATATGTATATAACTCGTATGAAATGCTGAGATATTTGCAAAACTCCGGACCACAGGTGGATGCAGTGGGGAACGAACACGCGCTGTTGTCCTTACCGGGGAGCAGCGCACTTCACCACTACACCATCCGGGTCCTTTGCCTTGCATGTATCTCAGCTAGTTCTATCGATCTTTATATATATATGTATATATATATGTATATATATACATGTATATATATATGCATATATATGTATGTGTATATATGTATATATATATATATATAGATATATACGATGTATACACAAGGTATATATATACATATACGTATGTATATATATGCATATATATGTATATACAACCAGTTCGCTTAGTAACCTGCCATGAAAATTATAGAAGGCAGAAAACAAAACGTTAAACATTGTGATTTCAACTACAGCCATAGCTTAACTGGGTTCTATGCCGATTTGCGCTCCCCAGATCAACCCCGCTGACGGGTGATTGCTGTGGCAAAAAGATCGATAGAAATAGCTGAGAGACGTGCGAAACAAAGGACCCGCATGGTGTGGTGGTGAACGCCTTACTCCCCGGAAAGGATAATAGCGCGTTCGTTCCCCACCATAGACACCTGCGGTCCAGAGTTTTGCAAATATCTCAGCAACGTTGTGGTTGTATTTCGCTTAGTAACCTGCCATGAAAATTATAGAAGGCAGAAAACAAAACGTTAAACATTATGTATATACAGTTTATATCATATACATAGTACACGGCCCATCACAAACATAATACGAAATGAAATTATTGTTTAAGGTACTATTAAAACTATTAAAGGACGAATAAGGTAACGATGCCTTTCATCACTACCACGGTATAGTTCAACTCTTTCCCGGGCTCATGAAAACATACCTACGGGGGTGGGAAATTGCTAGGCTGATGGCAACGTTAGGGTAAAAAAACTGACTCAAAAAAGGGCAACGTTAGGGTAAAAAACTGACTCAAAGAAGGGCAACGCAAGGGCCTCAGTGGTGGAGTGGATAACACAGGAACTATTGGAAAGGGTACGAGGGTTCGAATCTGGTCTGCGGTTTGAGTTTTGCTCTGGGATCTCACCGTCATTGTGGTTGTATTTCACATAATACTCTGCCTTGAAAAAAAGTTATACAAAAGAGAAATAAATAAATTATCCAAATACTGAGCTTACAGTGCGCATTCCTGGCCATAGTGCTGACAACAGATGAAATCGGACTAGGTGGTCCGATTCCTTTTTCGTTTTCTGCTCGAACAATAAATACGTAAGTCTGTGCTGGTCTCAAGTTCTTCACACGATATCTCAGTCCAGATATGTAATCCGGTACATTTAACCACGTCTGTAATCACTGCTCATTAAATCACACAAGGGATTAGACACGATGGAAAATCTTTGACGAAAAGTTGTAACCCCTCCAACCTCTCCAACTTCGGGACTAAAAAACTGTATAATGTATCCCGTGATTGGGCTACCTCCGCTTCGTTCTGGTGGTCGCCACTCCAAGTCAACCTGTAACATAGAGACAGACATACGTATGAAAAGATCAGGATCAAGAACTCATCTTCGATATATTCACGATAACCTTATACCGTTTTCGAACAGCCATTTTTGAAGGCTAATATATGAATACTTTTCGATAGATAAGCTTGAACATCAAAGTTTAGACCTAACTTTAATACTAAAACGTGAAAACACAACTTTAACGTTCTCTCAACTGGTTATCAAACTGCAAATCAGCATTTTCTAACCTCCGTGTCTGATACATTACTCGCAACTGGTTGTGATGGTGCTGATGGGAAATTGTCCCTGTCTGGCATTCGTGAAAATACCGACTTTGTGTTGTGATCTGGAAATTCTTTCATTAACAAATTCCCCGGCGTACTGGTTCTTGGATTACTGCTACTATTGCTATTCTTTTGGTTATTAGAGTAGTTACGGCGTATGTAGCTTCACAGACATACAGGACAGGCCACATTGGTTTGTCGCCTTAAGGATATATAAAATTTCACATAAAATGTCCTTCCAATTTCAGATTGATTTGGAACTAAAACTGATTGCAAAAATGAAAGCGAAACTTAAATTTCTGAAATTTCTAACGCAAACGTGACAGCGGCAAACACAAATAATTACTGGTAACACCAGCGTGTACAAATAGAAGTCGCGCTGGTTCAATCACCAGGTTGTTCAAGATCTCAGTCTGAGTGAAGAAAAGCGAAAAATACATTTTATGGAACCATAAAGCGGCAACTTCATCTCGATAGAATATAAAAAATTCGTTTCCGATTGTTAAAGAGCTGTAAGCTCACTGCTTTTCACTTCAGTTTCTTAAAGCCCATAATGAACATGTTGACATGCTGGTTTAAGCCTTAAAACATTCACTAGTTTCGCACCGTCCTTAAGAATCACACGCAACTCATACAGTAGCGAAATTGCCAATTCAATCTACAGTTCCTCAAGATATATAACACGTTCGATATTATTCTCCTATCGGAAAATGAGTCTTGTCTCGCAGGATAGATACTATTCAGCTCTTTACGTTTTCAAATTTATCCCCACCTAACTGACCGACGCGGATACCAAACACTATACGACCGAAGAAGAAAGAGATGCCCCTCAATACACATGGGCTCGATCTCCGTACCAGACTCACTAAGTTATTCATCTCTTCGGGTTTGGCAAATTGGTACCAGATCTGCTTGGGAAAATGCAGCATTGGCTCGATACATCGGTGGGCCACTGCGAGTCACTGTTTAGGTCAGATATGCATTCAATCACCTCTAACGATGCTTAATGAAGTAGAATGCATGGCGCATCCCTTAGGGATTGATCAACGCCGAGAGCCTAACCCTTTTATTATCCTTCATTCCCAATAACAATAAGCACTAGAAAGACTACATATAATTTCCGTAAGAAAAACCATGAAATTTCGTTAAACAATGAACTGCACAAAAAAACGTACCTTCCACAACTAATGACGCTGTCCATGTCGACTCTCCGTCGTCGTTTTTAGCTCGACATGTGTAAACGCCTGTGTCAGATTTTCTGAAACAACTGGTTTTCATTAAATGTCAAAGCACAAAAAGGCAGCTGTTCACAATTGCACTTACTTTTGAGAAAAAAGAACATTTTAAAAAAGTCTATCAATATCACCAAGAAACAATTGTGATCAAAACCGTCTACCAGAGAACTTAGATAAACAAGCGTTCGTTACTAGCAATAATAATCCGCAGTGTCCTTTGCCATTTCCATGCTTGTATGCAACACGTAAATGTGATCGATTCCCGCGCCTCTGGCCCACTAAGCTCTCCATACCATCGGGGTCAGCAAATTGGTACTAGACTTGTTTGGGAGAATAGCAACACTGGCTCGATATATCGCTAGACCACGGCGAGTTATTGTAAAGGCCAGATATGCATCCAACCACCTCTAAACGATGCTTAATGAAGTCGAAGGCATGGGGCATTCCTCAGGGATTGGTAATGTCGACAGCTTTATTCTTTATTTTCTTTTAATGTCCCTCCTCACTAATCCTCATCGAATAATGATTAGTACACCTTTCAAAGCAAATGTTTTAAATTTCTACTTGCATAAATTTCACAATAAACGGTGCCCGTTAATTTCTAACTCGCATTCGTCATTCAAGAACAAAATCAGGTACAAACTATTTTAGCATAAATGAGCGAAAATTGTGAGAAATGGAAGGAACTAACGGAATTAATGGTCATTTCTGATTTATGACACTTCGTTATTCCATTTCTGATTAAGCAGTTCAGAAATGATAAGCACTTTACTATAAGGCCTTTATGTTTACCAATTGCAACGAATACTTTCAGTGCCACTGCTCTCGTTGAACCAAATTTTCCAAGGTCATATCACTTATGGCTAAGCGATACTGCATCCTCCCTATTCGTCTGCACACACTGCTCCACTCGTAAAGTGGTAAACGACCGTGAACCAAGCGGGGTAGGGTACCGGCACATCTTTGTTACGCACACACACTCAAAACCAACATTGTAAATTGTTATTGCCCAAGAAAACTCTCCAAACCACAAACACTCACCTAACAATGCTATACTAACCAAATATACAACCGTTGCTGAGAATCTATCGATCTTAAATCCATATGATGCCGTTAGTGGATCGGATTCCGCGATCCGTTAATGAACCCGCAAACGAAGCCGAATCCGTCACACATAACGCATGAATGCATCGCTCAGAGGATACTCGATGGCTCATCAAGCTTTTCGAAAGTAGCTATTACCAGAATTCTCCACTGCATATCACTTTTCGTAAAACTGATCTCCAAATACGTACCACTTGTAAAGCTATTAATGAGCTCGTCTAAAACGTTCCGTAGTACCAAACATTCATGATCGACGTGATAAGATGTTGGAGACTAAGTATTACGAGACAACATAGAAATAAACCAAGAAACTAGACGCCGAAAAATTATTGGGCAACAAAGTGCAATGAAACGGAACTATCACTTAGTGGCAATGAAAAAAAAATCCTTTGAAATTTCTACTGACAACAATATGTTCGTTGTTAGCACAGCGTGCGCTGTTTGATTGGGTCTGTGTCGGTTGCTAGGGCTTATTCACTTACCAGCGAACTCGGATTACGAATGCAAGCCACGAGCACAACCAACGACGATTTTTTAATGCAAACAGATAGCCTCATTATGCATGCAAATATCTGGGTTAATCACAGTTCATGTGCATCATTTCTGATGCGGTGATGTTGGATTATTAACTCGTGTGAAGAATCTCTACATGATCGGCAATTAACTAAAACAGAAGAACAAAGAAAACATTACGACTATCTAATAGGATATAATTTTAAACTTCTAACTAACGAAACGATTTTTAACAGCAAAGATAACCGTTACTACCGTCAAACCCATCGCAGCAGTTGGCAATATGAAAACCTCACAAAATACACCATGAATAACAGTTCAAAACATACGTAGCACCAATGTACTCCTGATTTTCTTTAAATTTCCAACATGAGCTTGTCTACTTCCACCCCAATCAACCTTACCCAGTAACACTGTAGTAGTGACACATGCATCAGTACATCCACGCAGCATTAACTGAATTATGGAGGCGCGATAAGATTCGGTTGGTTAAGCCGCTATTGTGTTGGGTTAGGTGTTAGGCATAATAGAAAACACTGGACGAATAGCACAACGAAGTCATGTGATGCTCACCTGAGATCAGCAATGTGTAGACTTCCACTAGAGTGCTGACTATAGCGATTATCCTTAGTGGTGTCGACAAGATTACCATCGAGTAACCATGTGATTCTCGGCGGAGCCCGACCACTTGCTTGACACGGCAAGGTAGCTGACGAACCAACCATTAACGTTTGATTCTGATGACCATACTCAATCACTGGTGGCGGTTGTACGAGAATAGCTGAAAAGAACGTAGTGATGCCTTTACTACTAGATTTTCTGCACATTCATCAAACAAAAAAATCTCCTAAACTTACACAAATTGCCACAGTTAGTTCCGTTCAGGCATAGTGATAGTGCTGATGTTAAACTTAGAAATGATCCAAACACCATAGGTTTTTCTCATAGGGGTAATCTGACGTTTCTGAGGTCGTCAACAGATAGGAAAAATGAGTACGAAATTCAACATGGAATACGCAATATTGTGCAAAGGTATAAATACCAGTGGGAATTTAGTGACAATGGTTATGGACAGTTCTTTATCGCAAAACTATGAAGTGCTCACTATCATGCGAATACTGGACGTCGAAGACTGGGAAGCGTATGATGCAAGTAATGAGCATCACACCATACCGATCCGATAGCGTCAGACTAACAGACCGAGACGAAGAGAATTAGTGTACATGAACTGACACAATTCCATGTACCCGTGTGAATAATTCTAATCAACCTTTGGCTACCATATTAAACATATATATACATTGCGAAAAAAAAGTAGAGATAACGTGAGATGTTTGTCTTTTTCGGAATCTCGCTAAATATGAAAGTTATGCAGCGCTAGCATTGTTATTAAAATCTACAAAGTCTAGAATACCTATTATATCTCTGGTATGGCTTACATAAAGCACAATTTACAGGTGATAAATAGGGATAAGGCAGGTATAGAGCAATGGTTAGAGGAGCACTGCAATACACATGGGATGGATTCCGCACCCCAAAACACACCACGTCTTCCATCACTCCGCGGTCAGCACACTGGTACCAGATTTGTCTGAGAGGACAGAAGCAGTGACTCGATACATCGGTAGGCCACCGCGAATCATTGTACGGGGCCAGATATGCGTCGAACGACGACTAACGATTCACGATGAAGGCGAATGCACGGCGCATACCTCAGGGATTGATCAACGCCGACAGCTTTACCCTTAATTTTTAATGAGTGATAAAAAAAGATAAAGCTCTCGGCGTTGAACAATCCCTTAGGGATGCGCCATGCATTCGACTTAATTAGGTATCGTCGGAGGTGACTTAATTCATATCTGGCTCATACCTGGCCTCTACAATGTCTCGCGGTGGCCGTGGCCTACCGATGTATCGAGCCAGTGTTGTTATCCTCCCAGACAAGATATGTGTCATCAATTTGCCGACCCCAGAGAGATGGAAGGCTTGGTGGGCCATGAGCGCGGGGATCGATTCCACGTGTGTGTCGCAGTGGCACCTCCAATCACTGCGCTACACACACCCTTAAGTAGTGATAGCAAGAAAAATTTCGCCCAGAAAAATAACTAGAAGAGTGTCTGGAAGAATTTGTAGTGAATAAACTCAAACGGTCAACAATATCAAATGGTGTCGAAGGCCTGGTGACAGCGGGCAATGTGGAACAAAACAAAATTTCGCAAGAATACACTAACCAACAAGGTCGACAAAATGTAAAAGCAGTGAAAAATCGTTTATTCGAAGAACCAACGAAAAAAAAATATGAGAATGAAGCATCATCTCGGGCGGTCTCCGTGATTCGCTGAGCGCTTTGCGACCGGAAATAATCCATTTTAATAGTAACGTAGGAGAATAGCTCACAAACCCAATAAACTGACCAACGGAGTGCATCAGTGTATCGTGTTCATTCGATCAAAACAACAATTTGCGAGGAGGCATTACAAAATGGCCCTAGTTGAGGCGACAAAGGCATAGAGCAAGGGATGGCAGTACATTACATCGTAATACATCGTGTTCCAATGTCAACGCTCGTCACAAACTTTAAACAACTTTCGACAACGACGTGGAGAGATGAAAGTTATTATTGCAGACGCAACTGCAATAATCGAATACCCAACAAAGAATTTACCTCAGCGAAAACGGTGTTTAAAAGCTAGCAAGCCAGCATGGAACAAAAGCTGAAGTGTGGAGATGATGGGCGACAAATAAAGACAATATTGCAGCAGCCAATGATAGTATCTCACTCGCAAACTTCATAACTGAGTAGGAAGAACAGAATTCCTAGAAGCTACCAATAAATATAGACGTCCACAAACAGCGTCAGACAGTAGAAGATAATCATATGAACTAAAAAATTCAGTAAAATTGAAGAACGAAAGATTAAACGAGATTGAAAATTTGGATACTTAAGTAAATCAATAAGTGGCTAAGTGTAAATGAAAAATAACTTTTCATTCATTGCCCTAGCAGGTCTTCTTAAGAAGCGTGGATAAACAGGGTTAACCGATAAATGCTTAGGAATGAAATCACCGACAAATACCACACATTTCAATTTAGGCCAATTATATAGCATAGTGCTCCTATCATAAATATTCAATATCAAACGAGAGAGATATAGGAGCATATGATGCATCATATTAAATAACGCCTGACCAAAAATCCGATTCGAGCTTCGATATCACCACATATGGTCATTACGTGACTCAGCTATGTTCAATGAAACGAGAATAACCCAACGGAAAAATCTAAGCAAAATCGATCGCGGAACCATGGTTGCAAGTGCGGTTAAACATCCGCTTAACCGTGACCGATGATCGACCACAGCGAGTCTAGATTCTGCGCTAGCTAGAAAGAGAGTGAAACAAAACCAATGCAAAAACTACGTTCTAGCCATATAGCACAATAAACCATTACAAAATGGTACTGATGATGCCATAAAATTGGTAATCGCTGTTATATAACAAATGTACGACTGTTACGTAAAAAAAAAGAAGAGCGAGCAGTGTGCTGAGCTGAAAATTTCTTCATTAAAAGGGCGTGAACCTCAGTGCCTGATTAATGCACCGGAAATAATCAGCCAAAAAAAAACGAAAATTAGTCGGACAAGAAATAAGGCAATGTGAAAATCCATCCAACAATGCGACGAATTCTCATGTATTCCCATATACTTTTTCAGCAGTCTGTGAAATACAAGGGTGCAGAGATACGAACAGAACATGGAACTTCAGTTGAGCTTCGAAACCGTGGTTACCGTTCCCGAGGCCCAAGTGTGCACCCGAATCCGTTACACCAACCAAGACCCTTGCGTTGCCTTTCTCTCAGCCAGTTCTTACTCCAGCGTTGCTGTCAGTAATCACCCGTCAACGGCACTCCATTTTGTTTACTAAATAATTCGAAAACGAAAACCAAGTAGTAATAATTGAAACAGAAATTGAATGACGGCCTGGATTTCGAGTAGTGCGCACAACATAGGTCAGGTATAATACGGAGGACAGAGAGAGTAATCCATTATTCACAGCGACCCCAATTGTCAGGACCTTGCGCATAAAAGCCGCAACTGGCTTCGTTGTCCTTCTCACAACTTATAAATACAGAATGCCAAGTGAAAAGTAAATCTTGATTATTCGCAGCGTTTGGAGAGGTTCAAGAGTAAAAGCACTGTATACTTATAAATCGAAAGTATTCACGTATGGATGTGACAGATGTGATAAGTTTAATGGAAAATTCCAATAATGAGCAAAGGATGTTTTCCAATGGACATGACGGAACTGATAAGAATAACTTCATCGAGAAAGAAATCCGCTATCTGTAAATGTGATGCATTAAGAGCATAGCGCAAATACCAATAAAGTACCAATAAAAAAAGAAATTAGTAATTTCTTTGATAAATGAATACAAAAGTCGATGGATATTTTCTTTTTGACAGTAGAAAACGAAACAACAATAATACTTCATTGATATTCCAAAAAAAAAAAGAAAAAAAATGAAAAAACTTTTCAAACTCCTCCAAATTGCGAAAAGTGCACTATTTTATCTCGTAAATTAGGGATGCTATTTACTACTGTAAAGACTTATGAATGAACACTAATACATGAAGCTTATTATTCTTTAAGATAGGTGAGTTTCGTTCGTAACGACATATGACAACACTTTGCTTGCAAACAAACCGGACCACATGGTCTGCAAACAAATCTTAGCAGAGGTGTGGGGTGGCTCCGCATGGACACGGTCCAAGCACGTTAGTGAAGCCCTGATTCCCAACGTTCGCATCCATTAATCCAGTCATGTTTATGATCAAGACTGACGAGAAGAGGAAGCACGACGAGAAATAACTGACAAGTGATCTAGCCAATGGGAATCGCTGGCTTGGTTATACATACCATGCGGAGTTCGACAAAGCAGAAAGTAACTACAAACATATATATATACTTGTATGTATGTATGTATATACATATGTACACTCACACGTATACGCATGTATGCACATTCATATGTACATATATACATATACATGCATATTCGTACAACTGGTGCGAAAAAGATTGAGAGTTTAGCCATGATGAACTGATGTGCTAATTGCTCACACTACCCGTGAGTGCCGTTTTGAAGCTTACTTATTTATTAACAATTCACCATGCAAATCTTTTTCCTAACAATTTAAACTACAATTATGTTCGGCTGCTTAGAAAATACGTTCTCAAACCATGAAAACTGCACCGTTTTATTTCATGATAAATTCTTTCCTGAGTTCAAATTCATTCACACAGTTCATTTCTGCGAAACATATGCAAATTTCGAAGTCTGCATAGTAGTAGGCATTGGAAGTGGAGCAGCTCGCCTAGTGCATAACAAATGGATCAGCACAGAGAAGGCCTTTAATTTCATCTCAGTCATTAATTCAGAACACGTTGCGGATCTATACAAAGAACAAGAAGAAGACATAGAAATGAAGTCCACGTTTGAAAAATCATTGTCTGAGTAGGCGAACTGACCATGTGTGCTCGCCACTATAATCTCTTACGGGGATTCGCACGCGGGGATCAACGAAGGATTAAAGTAAGATGAGGAAAGACCTTTGTGCCAAGGCTGAATTGAGTGGTTGCCCACAGCAAACTACTGCACTATATACCAAAGCAGACATATAGCCCATAACGTACTAGTTTTCTTCTTTGTTACGAGAAACGACGTTCTAAGCACTTCTTCACGCAATGACTCGTCAGATTCAACAGCGAATACCGTTATACATGCCGTTATATGCTTTATGTATATGTATATATATATATATATATGTATATATATATATATATATGTATATATATATATATGTATATATATCCACATGTATATACATACATATATATGCATATACATACACGTATGTAAAACAATTCCCTATACATTTTCATACTTCACAGAAGAAAACAGCAAACGAAGAAATAACGTATATAGAGATGAAACACTTAACACCATTAACACGTTTGAACGTAGAAGTAATGTACCAATCTAAGTCTAAACAAACTGTGCAAAAAGTGCCTGAATTAGGCAAGGCAAATAAAAAATAAAATAAAAGTGTAGTAAAAAGTGTCAGCTATCATCATCACATAATGTTGCACTTGTTTTATTCAAAAAGAATTAGCTTATTGCTAGCATGGTATAAAATACATAACTTATACTACATTAATTTACCTTAACATAAAATGCATATTACAAAAGCTACGCTGCTCTTCGCTCTGCTCCATTTCATTGTTATACATAGGAATTTTCTGGTACAGTAAACGTGAAATTGTCCTAACGGTAACATCTAAAATCAGACATAAGACAAATTCAATGTCTGCAAATAGAGTGACGAGAGCTTCGGCTGAGTAATAGGCGGCAGTGTTCGATTCAACCACAATGTAAGTGGGTGTAGCAATAACTGAAGTCCTCGTTATTTGGCCATTTTTCTTATTCTACATGACTCATTTTTACATTAACTGCGCGGATCCAGCACTTATTTCATTCCATTCGTTTCATCGCATCCGTCATCCACAAAGGTTTTTGAACTTCTTAAGTGTAGGCTCGGCTGCCGGTGCTGGAGGAATGTTGCCTCCTTTATGAATGTCGCTGAATGCAAATTGAGTCGATTCCCCTCGCATCCTAGGATAACTGCGCCAGAGCGTTCCTACGTAGATCTGAGGGAGTGAGTTTCGTCATACTAACAGGAAATTCTTGCAACCCACCTAGTCTAAATTACTAAGCGTCAGAAAAAAGAAGTTAAACGCAGATGTAGCACTTAAATATTCTCATCAACGAGTAAGATGCAATATAAAAAACATAAAATTCCATAGATTTTCTATAAACGAAAAAATGACCCAGTTCACGTTTCTAAAGATTTCCAGCAAATATGCTAGAGAACTTAGCATGTTAGATCGCCTTCGACCGATCGGTCGACTAATAGAAAATGCCGGCGACCCGAAGAATCCTTGTCGCACGGCGGCGAACATGCCTGTGATGCACAAGGACCGGCGACTGAAAGCGACGAGGAAACGCTGCAGCGTGACTATCTCGGGATTTCACAACAAACCATGTAATTATGCTGAAGCAGCATCCGGTGTGTCCACAGGGCAACAACATACAGAAAAAAGATATTTACAAAAATTTTGCTCCAACAAAACTACCATCATAAATAGAATTTGCAAGACAACGAATACTAAGTGAAATCCTCAAGCCTACAGTGATTCTTAAAGCCGTTACAGCAATACCTATCCTTATATATCGTTTATAGGAGTAACTCAGTTCGAGAAATTCTGTTTCATTAGTAAGATTTCGAACATCAGCACACGACTAGAATACGATTTTGTAAAGAAACCGATACGAAATTTCTCTCTAAGTTTAGCAGAGAGAACTGTTGAAAGCACAAGAGCACCAAGAATTGTCAAAAAGTTTCTGACCTGCACAATAACGACATTAACAAACCATAACTTAAGATAATTTGACGGCAACATTTTGTTTAAATAACTGAAACCACTAATTGGTCCAGTCAATCACGAAAACTAAAAATCATTCATGTCACATGTGGATCCATCGGCACATCCTTCAGTAATCGATTAATGTTGAACGTTTTAACGTCCAACCTTATAAACACGTTAGTGAATTGTTAAAGTATATTTTAACAGCTAGCATTATCACTAAATATGAGAATGAAGCTGATCTGAAATAGCCGTCTTGTGAACGACACAGTATAAAATCTCCATACGAATCTTGAAAGCATCAAGTATCCGTGACAGATGAAGGGCGAGCTTCTCCGATGGTTATAGTTTCTACGTACGTCAAATAGCAAACGGAAAAAGATGAATAGTGGGTAGGCACGAACTATTGCACAATCCTATACGACCACAAAGAAAAGAAAAGTGTTTGCGTCGCTGGAAACTGAATCAAATGCGAATCATAAATGCACGTTTTACAGCGGCAAAACTTCCATATGCAAGAAAACAACAAGATGTAATGGCGATGAGCGATATCAACAAAAAATGGAATAAATGGCTGATGCTAGTCGTAATAGCATAGATAGTACTATAGACCATTGTCTCATAACAAACGTGTCATGAAAAGACTGCAGTACGTGACGTAGCCATTCACTAAGAACGAGGAGAGCACTGGAATACGAATCTCGATATGACAGATCTGGTCAGCTGTACCGATGAATATCACAGTTCTTCACTTTTTACACTTAAACGCCGATCTTAAATGATTTCCTCTCGCACGGGGTGAAAATATTGTGAACTTGAGAACTCAAACCATCGTAGCTAAGCACATGATGAACTCCATTCATTTGAACAAAAACTATTACAAAACTACAGATCTGTGCTCACCAGATATAGCGTTTGTTATCATATTGCGAAAAATTCCCGATTTTACAGAACCCAGAAATCGTATTTTTTTTTTCGCCTTTTTTCGTTACCGAAATATTGCTAGAAGTTTCTGAGCAACGATTTTCAGACTCTACGTGTTAAAACTATTCATACAGTGCTGCTCCAAAACATCCATGTTACGCTATTTGCGTTAAATCGTGAAACCAAAGACAGTATACTGAATTTTTTCATAAGGGAATAAACTGCAGAAAACAGAGGCGAACAGCGAGTATTGTGTGGAGCCATTCTTATCTCAAATAACTGGTGTAGTCAAAATAAGCACGCCTCGAAACTGAACAAACAGTGACCGTTAAGGCAAAAGCTAACAGTCTCCACTTTTCCAATGAAAACTGCTGGACGCATAATAATTCATTGGCAGAGAAAGAAAATGTGAAAAAGAAAACTTCACTTCATCTTTAGAGGTCATACGAAAACTCTTATCGAAAACCAATCATATAAATTTTAAATGTGTTCGGAATGAGTGAAACACTTCTTGGAAGAAACTGTGGAATTTAACACCCATAAATAAACCAGATGTAAAGGACAACCAAATAAGCGAGTAGTAAACTTGAATTCCTAACTTTACAAAAACATTTCTTGCCCCAATACAAATTATATGCACCTAATACAAATAAACAGATCCCGGCCGGCTGAAGTACTAAAAAAACCCCGAACAATATTTCCAGTGTCTAAAAACCCTAACTCATCCGTGCAATATAATGTAACTCTGAAATGAACAAAAGTAACGAGTAACTGAAACTGTTGTTGTTTTATCCACTCGAAACGAATTCGAGTAAAATGATGTTAATGTTATATTGCCAATAGTATAAATCAGTGTGCAATGCATAATAGATCACAAAGTTATTGGAAAGTCGTGATTCCATCACAAAAAAAATTTGAGCTCGGTAGACCCTTCGGAAACCTGACGTATGACTTGCGAAAAAACATGGAACCTAACATATTACAACTGCAGATAGAGACATTAGAACTCTGATCTCATAAGAACAAGCTTAAAACCATCGAAGAAAGCAAGCGGACAACCAATGCATTTGTTGATAGTCAATACACAAGAACACGCCACTGAGCTGATGATAATAACGTCTCGAAATCCATTACAGGTCAAGTCGAAGTCAAGTGTACCCGAACACTATGGCCATATCTTACCTGTACAAAAAGAAGGTTATGCCGCTCATTCCGTTATTGAAATATGAGCCCAGACGGCAAGGTGACGACGCATTTTGGTAATTAGAACGCCCAGTTAATGTGCCGCAACAAAAGTCACACCGATACTAGCAAACGAACCGTTCAAGGTTACCACATAGAGACAAGTAAGGTTTTGATTTAACTCGCGGGGAAAATGCTGGAGCATTTGCTAAAGATCAAAGACGAATCTCGCGGGGATGGGAGTAGGAAGTTCTCAGTAATGAAACCCTAAGAACATGAAACAGAGACTTGAGTATTCCAGGAACGCCTTCATCGAACCACACTGAGGCAGACCAGCTTTCCAATTTCTTTGGGCTTTACCGTTTTCAATGACAACTCCATCAGAAAGCCAACCTGACCGAGCACACAATAATTTCGATGAAATTTTGCTTGTAGGAATTAATTTTATCAGAAATTAACAGAACATATTGCGAAATTAGTGGAAATTTCTGAAAAATACGCAACGGCTAGTGCTTTCACTAATAAATAGTAATAAAATAATTCCGCTATAACAATGTCCTTTTTTCTTCTTTTCTCTCCTTCTTGTTTTTGGTTTCACAACTCCCTTTACTATATAATCAACCAAATACCACCCTTAGAACTTTCCTACTTTTAGGATTATACCATTCCCCGCTAATCTACAAACGAAACTGGTTCTGTTCAAACAATGCCAAAGACATCAGAACTTGTATGAACAAGGCCACATAGTGAAGAAAAAATTGTTCGGACAAGGATGCTGCCGGATCAAAACGTAAAAGAAAAAACTACGGTGGGGAACCGAACACTATAATCAATGCATATATTACGAGTGTCCAAAGATGTTATTAACATTTGGTATTCAGAACAAAAAAAAACTAAAACGATACTGCATATTCATAGGATATTGCTTCAAGAGAACACAGTCGAAGACGGCGATGGAGTCCACTGACAAAAACACACAAGGAAACAGTAAAAGAGAGCAACATACCTTTTGCCGAAAGCTTCAATAACGCTTTGCTAAGTGAGCTGCCAGCAGAGTTCATCGCTGCACAAACGTAGGCACCTTCATCTGGAGGACGCACATCGGAAATTGTAAGAGTTCCAGAAGATGACACCTTTATACGCCCATCCGCTGACACATGACCAGGAAACAGAAGATTCTAAAGAAGTAAGTAGAACGCTATTTCAAAACCTCTACAGGGACTGTCTGAACTAATACTTCTATTTGCATTGCAGTTAAGAAAATTTTTGGATTACATATAAACGAGAATATATATGAAAGCTTGTACAAAGGAACGCAATATTGTGAACTAATGGAAAGGGCAATAACGAAGTGGTACTGATGCCGCTCATTATCAGTGAAACGCTCTTTTAGCTTCACCAAGGGTTCACCAAGTTTCTCATCCCTCCGGGACCAGGACCTATCTGAGATTGGCTCACTCTCATCGTATACGTGAAAATGACCTAGCGCGCTAATTCTACGATTTCAAGAATTGATTCGCACAGCATTCAACGACGTTCATAAAGAAGTTGAAAACCGTCAAGCAGCAACCGAAACAACAGGCAAAAAGTTCGAAGGCCTTCGTAGATGATGGATGCGAGGAAACGAACAAAATGCAAGAAATACTGCGATCCGCACAATATGTGATGTCGAGCCGTACAAAAAAGAAAACCAATAATTTAGGATGACGTTTAAAGAAAAGGGAACGCTCTGAAAATCGGCCTTCTCGGAAACAAAACTACGTGTAGATAGATGAAATTTTAACAAGTTTTGGAAAGCTCCAGAACCATGTTCAAACTCTAGGTTCTGGCATACAAAATTGCACACCAGAGACCTTTTTTACAATAACCAAAACTCAACCTCATGGTCTCATCTCAGCACTATTGTACCTATAACTACACGGGTTAAAGTTAATTTGCCGTTAGCAGGATTCCAAACCGTTCGAAAAGCAATTCACTGTTCATCGAAGATTTACGAAACGATTCATCTTCACCACTACACCTGGTGTCGAGGTATTCTTTTTAGAAAACGACGTAATTTCAAAAGTAATAACGAGATAAATACCTACCTGCTGTCCTTCTTTACTCCAAAAATAAGCGGGAGTCGGCTGACCAACTGGTATGCAATCAAAAGTAGCAGTTGAACCAGGAGCAACTATCTGATCTGTTGGCTTTGTTTGAAACGTTGGAGGTGCCTAAAGAAGTAGGTGCACTCAGACGGCAGTAGTTCAAAATCTATTACACTTACTTGGACTTTCAAACGAGCAGAAGACTCAATTGAACCTGCCGGATTTCTCGCATAGCAAACGTAGTCACCCTCGTCAGATATTTGCACTCTTAAAAGGAAAATTTTTTTCCTATTAAAATGTATTTTCGAATCGAATACTTACTTGATACTTGAATAACCCGTCTTCACTAGTTGTGCAGCCTCCAGCATAATCACCATTTTGTCGAGATTTGCTGGTTAAACCATTGTGGTTCCTTGGAATCCCGAGGGCAGCCTGGCCAAAGTCTGCCCCAGGTCGCCACCACGACAGGCAGCCGCAAGCCCTTGTGGATCAGAGGGAGATTTGCCACCATGCGACTTTGACACCAGGACGGTGGTGGATCCTGGTATTGGTATTGGTTTACTCTTAGCTAGACTTCCTGATGGAAACGCCGAACACCTTCTCAACTTGGGAGACCTTGCCGGCGAGATGAATCCCCCGCTGTACATCGCAGTCTGACACCCAGGAACACCTCCTAGCCACGACGAGGCGGTAGACCGTTTGGAGGTTTCGAATAAAATAACAAAATAAATCCTCGAACATGCCTGTCGATTCGCAAGCCGCGATTGTCCTTAGCGATATATGCCCTGGCCACCGGCATTTGATCATTCTTCTTCTTCCAGCTGATTTGTGGCTGTGGTTCACCTGATACACGACAATCAAAAAGCACCGATGAACCAACATCAACCGTAACATCCTTTGGCTCTTGCTGAAAAGACCACAGAATTACTTCTAAGTGTTTCTTCAAAAAATTACTAGCATAAAACGAATACACATTCAACTAATACGATCATATCAGAGTTCTTTGGCTACTATACCAATTCTTTCAAAAAAGAAAAAAGAAAAAAATACTAGATGAAGACTGTGGAGTGACGAAAAATGTATACACAAATCATAACAAACACTGCAGGATACTCTTGAGCTATGAAACCTTAAAACTCGAGCTCCTCTTATGTTTCACATTTTTAAGCGTAAAGAATGGTGATTTACATAACTTCAGAACAGTTAGATCACCTAGTAACTTAACCATTTATGAAATCATGTTACTTTTAAACATCTCTTCACTTTGCGGTTGCTTTACCAGAAAAGGAATAGTTATTTAACACCACCCCGACTTCAAGTTCGCAAATTCCTCTACTGTGAAAAAAAGGGTTACTATGAAAACCCACCAAAAACTTCGGCTTTTCATAAACGCTCAATCTCGCTGGATTTGACACTCGTTCTCCGACCATATTTGTTGCTACACACTGATAGGTACCAGAGTCGCTATGTTCGACCTACAAGTTCAACGAAGCAATATGGATTCAACTGATTCGAAAACAAAACTAACACAGAAACAATATGTACAAGGTGAAGGGACGACTAAACCCATCACAAACAACTAAAGTTATTTGCAACTGCTCTCTTAGATATCGTACGATGTGGAAACTACAAAGCTTCCCAAGAATTTACATACTTTACTTACTTGGACACTTCGACGGCCCGTGCTCACTGAGTGTGCGGGCCCCAGCATAGTCTCCACTTTTCGGAGTTTTGCTGGTTTAGATATTGTGGTTTCCTGGAGTCCCAAGGTCAGCCTGGCCAAAGTCTGCCTCAGGTCGTCACCACTACAGGTAGTCGCCGCCCTTGTGGATCAGAGGGAGATTTACCACCACGCAACCAGTTTGATACTGAGACGGTGGTGGATCCTAATATTAGTTTACTCTTAGCTAGGCTTCCTGATGGAAACGCCGGACTCCTTCTCAGCTTGGGAGACCCTGCCAGCGAGATGAATTCCCCCACTCTACATCGCAACCTCAAACCCAGGAACACCTCTCAACCACGACGAGGCCGTAAGCCGTTGGGAGGGACAAACTTTAAACCTTAGAGAAACGTATTTAGAAAACATTACTCACAGGTTCAATAATAAGATTTCCGTCAGGGTGTAACGTCATTCGTGGAATTTCCGACAGTTTCAATTCTTTATCGTCTTTTCGCCAGCTAACAACCGGTTCCGGAAAACCACGAGGTGGTGAACATTCCAGCACAGCCTTATCACCAGATAATGCCTGGATTATGGCAGAAATAAATTCAATGCTTACAATACTCAGAACGAAAACCATGAAGATATTACAAACATCATCAAAACTCCGAAAGCGGAAGAAAAAAGGAAGAACAATACCTGCACGGTGCGTGGTCGTGTTCGGAAGTCGTCCCGAAGCATGGCGATTTTCAGTGTTCCTTCTCGTGATTGCGCTTCACCGTGCTCATTTCGTGCTACACAGTGATATGAACCCGAATCACCATCTTTCCCGTTCTTTCCTAAAAATTCAATCAGAGCTTGTTGTTTCAGTATTACTAAAATTGGGCTACCAAACTTAAAAATAAAAATATAGCGCTCGCTCGATTAGGAACAATGTATGCACTAGTTCGAATATAAACAAAAAACTGGAAAAGCCTTAAAATCTACGGGGATCGATTTTCACTCAAACGCAAAAGAGAAAAATTACTGCAAAATTTAGTACTTAGTAACTTAAATGCAAACCAATCTTAACTGCACTAACGAACACTTCAATGAGTAATCATCATAAGTGACCCACAAAGAACATCCTGCTCACCTACTATTCTCAAAGACCAGCAAAACTTATCATTCGACGAACACTTCATGGTATCGGCGTTCAAGAGATTGTAACACGACAATACTTTCACCAACGACATTTGCATTGTGAACAGATAGTAAATAATCCAGCACTTTACCAAATACATAGAAAAACCCGTAAGGTGCCCCCTGACGAAAAAACAAGTAACAACACATTCTGTGACCACGCCGCCGTCCAGCTATGCCTGCCCATCGCAATAGTACAACTCGTCCAGTTTTGAACATCTGAAGACCGCAGCCAATAGGGTGACAACGGCTTCGGTTCACCGATTATGAAGATGTTTTGTGTTTCTATATCAACAATGCTACTATTCCTCAATGTTTTCACAACCTGTGACGATAGAACAAGTGATAACAGATCCTTTCCATCCTATGACCCACCTTGCCTTCTAGCTAGGCTTGCGTATCGCAACAGCACAACTCGTCCAGTTTTGAACATCTGAAGACCGCAGCCAATAGGGTGACAACGGCTTCGGTTCACCAATTATGAAGATGTTTTGTGTTTCCACATCAGCAATGAAACTAGACTTCAGTGCTTTAATTACACATAAAGACGAAACCGAATAATTTATGCGACAATCTCATTAGCAATCCAAAAAGAAAGGTTTGAAAACTGGTCCGCAATTCCAATATTAAGATATTTGGTCTAGTTTTACGATTTCTTATAAAACGGGAACTCCACGTTAGATATGAAACGCATGAACAGACTAATAACGTCTCATATACAACCATATATCGATAGTCTCTCCCAACGGTTTACCGCCTTATAGTGGCTACGAAGTGTTCCTGAGTGTCGGGCTGAAACGTACAGCGGAGATTCATCCCCAGGTAGGGTCTCCCAAGCTGAGAAGGAGTTCGACGTTTCCATCAGGAAGCTCGGCTAAGAGCAAACCAATACCAGGATCTACCACCGTCTCGGTATCAAACTAGTCGCACGGTGGCAAATCTCCCACTGATCCCCAAGATCGGCGACCGACTGCCTGTGGTGGCGACGACTTGGGCAGACTTTGGCCAAGCTGACCTCGGGACTCCAGGGAACATGGTTAAACCAGCAAAATTCCGAGAAATTGGAGATTATTCTGGGGCTCGCACAACCAGTGAGTGCGGGCCATCCAAGTATCCAAGTGCCGGCAGTCTGCAATGAAGGCATGCCATCGAAGCTTTTAGGATAAAAAACCTCGTCTGTACTCCCTAAACGGTATTTTTATAAAACAATTTTAAAAAAGTGCATCTCAAACCTTGTTCTAAAGCCCTCAGTACTGATAGGAGTCTTTGCCACAACCGCTATAAACGAATACAACAGTAGAATTAGCTTGAAAATCGGAGAAGGTACTAATAGCAGTACTGCTGCATTGGACAGGCATGCTCACAAAAGTGGATTAAACCTCCGTTTCAAAAAGTTCAATAAAATATTCACATTTTAAGAAAGTTCAAGTAAAATGTTGCGCAATCACTGGCAGACCCAAATACCAATCACTTTATTAAGGATTGGGAATGTTCACAAACGTCATATTTTTCCCAATGTCACTAAACAATTTATAGAATTAGTTCAACAAAAACACCATCATTGTTTCACATAAGATAAACTGGGTGGATTTCAAGGCCACCGTCTAGCAAGTTGTCTTAAATGGTAAACACAAGCTTACATACAGTACGCTTACGCTCTAAAAAGGACTGCTTTGAAATAACTGCCAATACTAAACGAAACATGCTCTCGTCTAGCAAAATTTACATTTGAAAAGTCTTCCTTGTCTACTACAAAACATATTGAGACCTAAATCAGGTAGTATGTGTCCAAGCTATACAACTATTGAAAGAAACATTATGTTCGCAATTGAATGTATTTACAAAACAACTCCGTTTATAAACTTAATTTAACTTGTTCAACTATGCTTCAATATTCAACGAAATGACCTTAAAAAGGAAGAAGACAAAAAAGCATTTTAAACGATGAGGAAACATAAGCCTCATGTAGAAGTTGCTCTAACTGCTTTTACACTCTACAGTTCATCAAAAATGAGAGAAACACTATACCCAACATAAAAGTATAAAGTCATAAAGTCAACTGAAAGCTTATTGCTTCGTTAAATCAACACTTTAAGCAAATTTACATCGGCCAGAGTTGTTCCTAGCGAACTAAAAAAAATATGAAATTCAAATTAAAAGCGTACCACTGTTGACTTTTAAAAGAAATAACGCTCCGGTGTCAAGAATTATTCTATGACTATTTACTTGGTCCTTATTGGTTGTTACAGGTTGTCCATCTTTGTACCTAAAAACGTAAACAACGTAATTTGTATGGTAATAGAAAAACATAATAACCGAATTTCGAACACTAAATGGTATATTAGTGCAGTACTAGGTGAAAACATTCTAACGAGGCTAAAATATCACTGCACAACAAAAGATAAGCACTATATATTACTTCTACAAAACACAACACACAATACAAGCATAATGGCGCTGAGATATTTGCAAGACACCGGACCGCAGGTGTCTGCGGTGGGGGTACGAATGTGCTACTACCCTTTCCGGAGGTTAACACGTTCACCACCACACCATGCGGCTCCTTCGCTTCGCCTATCTTTCAGCCAATTTTCTATCTATCATTGCCATTAGCAATCATCCGTCAACGGGATTGATCTGGGGAGCACAAATCGCAGTCAAATCGGAAACCAAGTCATAATACCCTGCTGTCAATAATTGTAACAGGGAGAAATAAAAAGCGAACAACGTACAATAACTTGACTTATGCAATCATGTTTTCATCTCCTTCCTAATCTTAAGCAGCCAGTTTTTCCTTGTCAAACAATTATCCGAGGACGGTTTAAACAATTTATGTATATGTAATTTATGTACTCTTAAAAACAAAACTGAACCACTTACGTAATAACTTGACAAAATCTATTATTACCAAGTAATCCGTGCTCCGGGAGGTTTTGCAGCGCAATTCAATGTTGCCGGCGATCCCTTCGATACGATCACATCAAGTGGATGTTCAACTATGATCGGCACTCCGTCCTCAGGATCTAAAACATACACATGTCCTTATTTGATTCATTAATGTTGACTTCCATCAAATGACATGGCTGGGATCAGACTGCAATTACGACCTCAGCAGAAACCGTTGAAAAGTTCTCACGTCTCATTACGGAACGTGACATCGTACAGAGAAAAAGTGCACATGACACCGTTTCTTTCTTTAAATATAATTAATGGCTTCGAAATATGCTCCCAATTCCGCCACCAATTTTCCAATAAAACGAAGATATCGGTCAGAAATACAAAGAAAAGCAGAAACCAAATATCGACGGAAACTATCTCTTCTATAAAGTCGCTAGCGTTTTCACAGCGAAGAAAACCGTCCAGCAATAGAAAATTATTCGGGATATCCTCAGCAAATATCCTAATTAATATTACATAATGCAATTACAGAAAAGACGGTATGCCGCTAGAGAAATTTCTAGCATTGGTTCAATCTCTATAACCCCTTTAGTTCCATTAAGTACCAATGTGCTTTGTTAGACACATTTTTCCCAAATCCATCACCTTTCATCATCATCATCACGTTTCGTACATCCTACCCTAAGATACCCTTCCAGTCTAAATTTAGCACTGGAGGAAGTTTTCAAGACTACATATAAATACATACAGTCATTTGTACAAGGTTAACATTACCACTTAATTAATTCTGGTCACCACAATTTCAACGATTCCAAACAGATTCACTTTTAACACAAATCTTCGAATTTCTGCTATTTTCACTTGACGACGGCGCAAGCTGTGGGTATGACAAGTGCAAAGTATCAAGCCAAAATATCAGGTGCATGCTAAAAGCTACTCAGCAAAAAATCTTCATCCAACCCTGAACAAATAACTTTGGCCGAAAAGTCTCGTACACAGTGAAGCTATGCTCACTGCATGGAAAATATGCAATTCTAGACACAGAGATTCATGTGAACTGTAAAGTTGCTGCTTCCGTGAAACCACTAACCTGATCCTAGGCATTCAAACGGAGCACTACACATACCCAGTAACATTTACCAATCACACACGAATAACCCATCAATACACCATATTTCGAGTACTAGTGAATTATTAACATAATAAGTGCCGATTAGTGTTTCTGATATCGGCGGGTCGCTGTAAAACCCTCATAACTCTATCCGAACGTGATCAATTCCATGCACAGTCCATGATACGTTCATACTGTTCAATCGTCATGAATCGTTCACGATCCCATTTAGCACTTCACTGCATGAAAATGAGCATCAGCGACCAATAAAACCGATGGTATTTGCGAATACACTTCTGAAGTGCAACGACTACTTCATACTCTCTTTTAAGCGCATAAAACACTCCAACACTCCATAAATTTGTTATACATTTGATATTGTAGCAAACAGAACACACATACTTCGAAGTTGCTTCCACACTATAAATCTCCGTAGTTTTAAAATCTTAACAGTTTTCAGAAATGCCAACGTTCAACTCCAAAATGTTGTCGATTGGAAAACCAATGTGAAACAAGCTCAACAGCGTTACTTAGACAGTAATTTCGTAGCAGATTTCAAAAAATATACAGATTAGAAAATCTCCTACTTGACTTATTGTCGGGTTTGGATAGCAAAACAGGAGTCTGTGTATTCATCTACTTCATGTTCACTGAGCATTAATTACCCTATGATGGACACGCCACCAAGAATTCTTGATAACGTTCAGACAATGGACGATATCTAATAGGACGCTTATCGAAACAGATGGCGTCTGATCGGCTGTGATGGGTGGCCATGGCCACACTAACTACTATTATAACTTTACCCTTCCAAGAGTGATCACTTCGCTAACAATGACTGGTTTCAACTATAAGTGTACCGTTAACTGGTACTTGGATAAAGAGCGACATTTAATACACATACGTCAATATGGAGTGTGGTTCAAGGAAAATGAAACCACTGCAACATTTAGAATCTAGAGAAGAGATCAAGAAAAAACCAGACAAAGAGCTGCAATTATTTTTGTAGTTAGAGTAAAAGCTAAAGATTATTTCTCGCAGGATGCCTTTGTCTCCCAATAATTTTGCAGAAAAAGCCCTATTCCTCCCGAAATTCGTGTAAATTCATCGTTGATCTGCTAGTTTCTTCTAAGCTTAAGTTCGAATTTTTCCACAGAGTCCAAAAACGTTTCTGTCATTATGTGGAATGGGGTTGGACTAACTGAATTCCCTAATGAATAATGCACCTGCCCGTGCGCCGTCTTGATCGTCTCCACACGCAGGTGATTTATCGTCGACCTAAGGTGGTCTTCATGCGGAAAAGATAAACATGTCCACTTTCAACATTACAATCACCACTACTCAGTGCTCCGATGAAATTACATATATCATTGCTGAAGAAAGAAACAATGTCGTAAGCCACAGAACAACCAGTACACCGCAACTTTCTAGTCATTCAATGTCATCACGGTTATTGTGGTCGCACGCCTGTGAAGCATTAGGTCCTAACAAGAATTCAATGAACAGCAATTATTCTTATCCGATATTTGAGAAGCGATCCAATATTTCTTAATACGAACGGTGTGATTTATTAGTTGCCGAGATGTCATGACTACAGATATTAACTTTGTACGCTATAAGAGTCACTTTAATACGTTTTAAGAACCAGAAAACATATAGAATACCTAAAATAAAGTGCACTCAAAATAAATTCCATAAAAATCTTTAAGATATGCTTTTAGAAGCGCACGAATTCCAGATTCTCAAGCGAATCACTTTTGTAAAAAAGGAAGGAAAGGAAGGAAAGCATATCAAAGTGATGAAGCTGCCTCTAATGCCTAGAAGATAGATACCACACCATAGGCAGTCAACGTCAACTAGAACATTCATTACCATAACAGTGCTTAACGTTTTGTTTTCTGCCTTCTATAATTTTCACAGCAGGTTACTAAGCGAAATACAACCACAACGTTGCTGAGATATTTGCAAAACTCTGGACCGCAGGTGTCTATGGTGGGGAACGAACGCGCTATTATCCTTTCCGGGGAGTAACGCGTTCACCACCACACCATGCGGGTCCTTTGTTTCGCACGTCTCTCAGCTATTTCTATCGATCTTTTTGCCACAACAATCACCCGTCAGCGGGGTTGATCTGGGGAGCGCAAATCGGCATAGAACCCAGTTAAGCTATGGCTGTAGTTGAAATCACAATGCTTAACGTTTTGTTTTCTGCCTTCTATAATTTTCACGGCAGGTTACTAAGCGTAAGCAACCCCGCTGACGGGTGATTGCTGTGGCAAAAAGATCGATAGAAATAGCTGAGAGACGTGCGAAACAAAGGACCCGCATGGTGTGGTGGTGAACGCGTTATTCCCCGGAAAGGATAATAGCGCGTTCGTTCCCCACCATAGACACCTGCGGTCCAGAGTTTTGCAAATATCTCAGCAACGTTGTGGTTGCATTACCATAACAGTTTCGCATCCACGTGGAAGGATGTAGTGCTACAAACAATTGCTGACCTAATCAGCAGGATAAAGTACGCTCATTAAAAACTTATCATACCTATGCAGTACTAGTAAACAACTCACAGCTCATATCTATACTTGCTTAGATAGTTGGATGGCTCACCTTCACTAGTTGTGCAGACCCCTGCATAATTTTCATTCTCTTGACATTTGCTAGTTTAGCTACTGTGGTTCTCCGGAGTCTCGACGCCAGCCGAGGCGAAGCCCTAGGTCGTCATCACTCCACGCAGTCGTTGCTCTTTTGGATCAGAGAAAGATTTGCCACCATGCGACTTTGATACCACGACGGTGGTCGATCCTAGTATTGGTTTACTCCTAGCTAGGCTTCTTGATGGAAACGGCAGACTCCTTCCCAGCTTGGGAGACCCTGCCGAGGGATGAACCCCGTGCTGTACCTCGTAGCCCATAGGAACAGCTCATACCAATGATGAGAGGGGAAACCGTTAGGAGGGGTTATACCTAGAAATCAATAAGTACCATTTTTACTATTAAAGATTTATTCAGTAATTTCGAAAGTGTATACGTCACTGAACCATTCAAATAAGCGATTATATCTGTTCTTTTTCTATTGAAGAAAAAAGCATGCCTTTAACAACAATGTGGGCTTTTAAACCATCATAGAAGCATAAATTAAACACCCTCTTGCATTTATACCAAGCGGATAAAAAAAACAGACACAATTTTAAACGCTTTAATTTCTAGCAAGGAAAGAACACTTGTTAGAACTGCAAATCTTGCACTACTGACCTAAACACAGCCATTTATACTGTAGTGGAAGGCTTACTAATTCAGGAAAACACTCGTATATAACAATATTTTCAGCAGGGAAACAATGGGGAGCTACAAGAAAAAGTGCCATAGAATAATATTGTCTTGAATGCTGTAACGTGTCTGCTTTACTGATCTTATCAAAAATCCACTGATCCTAATGCTCATCCTAAGGTGCGAAGAATCACGTGGTAACCGCCAACCCATATACAAGTTCATAATCTCCACAATCCCATTCTAATTTTTGATACAGTGGTTGATATCGCTTGAATGTTCAACCGACATGTGGACTCAGGTCAAGTAACACATTATTTTCAATCTGGACTTTGTTGAATTACCAAAAGCTTGGCATCCATAAAGATTGCGATGGTTTTCAAACACTCAAAATGAACAGATGTTCTAGCATTGATGATGATGATGAGCTTCTGGGCGCAATTCATTCCGCTAATTGCCCGCGAAGACAAAATTGCCTCAACTATTGACTAGTTACAGAGGGCTTATCGTCCATTCTGAGCGCTATCCATGTCAAAACAGATCATTTCTTCTTAGACAAGATTCATAGTTTTGTTTACGGATCGAAAATATTCGATAGAGAAGTGGAAGTTGAAAATAGATGGCGATAGACGGTAATCAAATGACGGATCAGAAGGATGTAATCGATTAGCAGATAAACACCACACGTAAATAATAATCCAATTAAAGTAAACAAATAATAATAAAACAAACCGAAAATAAATGAAACATTTGAAATGAGGTACTCACCTTCTGCTTCAGAGAATCGTAGAGAAATCAACACCGAAAGAAATATGATTGAATGAAGATCAGGCATTTCGAACGCGTTCGCTTGTCACCTCCAACGCAT